GGGCGCGGGCAGCGGCCGCGGGAGCCGGGGGCGTCCGGCCCGGCCCGGCCCCGCAACAGCCTCCGCAGCGGGGTCCCGCAGCATCCCCGGCGCCCTCTCATCCCGCAGCGTCTCTGGTATCCCACCGCATGCCAGGCTCCCACAGAACCCCTGGGTCCCACTCATCTGGCAGCATCTTTGGGATGGCACAGCTTTCCTGGGATTCTGCTCATCACACGGCATCCATGTAGCCCACAGCATCCTGGGGATCCTACGGCATGGCACGATATTCCTGGGTTGCCAGAGCATCCCTGGGATCCAGAGCATCTTACGGTGGTTCTTACCTCCGAGTGTCTTCACACAGATGTGGCTGCTGCACAAAAGCATCCTGGCAGTAGTGAGGGCTCTGGTCACACTGAGGTACCTGTTGAACAGGTTGTTCAGGAAAAAAACCACCACCTCCTGCCTACTGGTTGGACAGTCGGTGGCAGGACATGGCTCATAGAGATGCAGAACTTCTGAGACACCTGCAAAACAGCAGGAGCTCCTAAACAGGAAACAGGCACAAATAAGCAATTATGCACTAAGGTCCCTTTCCACCTGAGCCTCCCTGTGGTCATTTGAGCCAGGGAGGGTGTGAAAAGGGTCAGGAGCTGCAGAATTTCAGTTACCCATTCCAGGCAAAAGTTAAGCTTTGAACACGTTTACCTCTTTTGTTACAGCTGTACTAGGTCTGAATGTTCATATTAAATTTTAATCACTTAAAGACACATTGCAGTTATGTTGGAATAGGAGTAACTCAAACAAGAGCCAGCTTAAACTGAGACTCAGTAAAGACCCACAGAAATAAGAGAGCTGGTACTGAGGATTGGTTTAAAATCTCAAATACTGCATCTGCAAGAAAGATAAATAAATGTACTTAAGCCCAAACAAGAGCCAGCTTAAACTGAGACTCAGTAAAGACCCACAGAAGTAAGAGAGCTGTCTATTCCCAACTGGTACTGAGGATTGTTTTAAAATCTCAAATACTGCATTTGCAAGAAAAATAAATAAATGTACTTAAGCAAATTATTGTTAATCAGTGCTGTTAATCAGTGCTGTTATAAAAGTGATGTAAAAAGCATCCTATCCAAAACAACAAACCAGAGGTTTGGTATTACAGGACTGAAATGATGGGACTCCATGGGGACTTAAAAGCACAAAGCCAGTGAAATCCTTGGTTAGTCCTTACTGAGAAGCATCCAAGCAAGGTCAGAGCCTGCACTCCTGTGAAAAGTGTTGGTGTAACCCAGGATGCATCCTGAGCTATTAGTCCAGTAAAAGTGATATGAAAGATTTATAAATTACTAATTTAGAAGCAAATTGAATGTATGCATGCAGCTAAAATGCTGTCACTGGGAAATAACTTTATTCTTGTGGTTTTCTATTCTGCATTTCTAGGGAGTAAAGGCTTACATGGTACTGCCTGCCTGCAGCACTTGCTGGCTCAGCTGCAGCTCTGTAGTAATAAATTGTGAATTTAACTGCTTTTAATCAAACCTGGATAAGGGTCTCTTATATACAGAGCTTCTTTAAGCTTCCTGTCAATTGCCAGGAATAGGAGACAGGGCTGAGCAGTGCCCCTGCTAAAGGAAGATGTACAGTGGGAGCTCACTTTGTATGGACGAGGACAATCTCCAAAGGCAAATCCATAATCAAGCAGACTCTACTGCTTTCACTGCACACAGAACTATTTGTTTAGTGAAGAGAAAAAAACAAAAAACAGAGTAAAACAAATCTTTGCTTACACAAGCTGCAGTGGTAATTGTGGTTGCTCATGCATTTTCCTGTGTCACTGTGTATTGTCTTTTACCTGCATTGCTGTTGGGTCTCCTGCATATCCCATAGATGTAGAGTGAGAGAATCTCTACAAACTTACTGGTCTTAAAAATCCTGTAAAATGCTAAGAAAAAGGCAAAATGAATACAGAGTGGAGACAATCAGATGGCAGAGCTGTTCCATCATTGCCTTCCATGACCCACTGTGGCCAGTCCAGCTCTCCTGATTCATGTGGGGTGCAAGAGAGGGAGCAGCTGCTCCCTGGTCAGAGCAAAGCTGGATCCCAAGGAAGAACTCCTAACATCTTTAAGGTTTGTCTGGGCTACATCTGGTGTGTACCTGTAGTACAGGTGGCTCACATGGTGCAATCCACTCAAGAAGCAACTGATGTGAGACTTAAGAAAGGGGAAAAGAGAGAGGTTGGATTCTCACTCTTGTCTTGGTGCTTGGCTTCTCTGCTCACCCCAAAATGCAATTCCCTGAACACACAGTGTGTGCCAGCAGTGCTACAGGGTTTGGAGAATGTGACTCCAGAGACCAGTTACAGCTGGCTGAACTCCACCTTCCCACAAGCTCCTTAAAAAACACAAGGTTCAGTTATTTGGTTCAGTTATTTGGTTCAGTTATTATTTATTATTGCATTGAAAGGATATTATTTGATTTACAAACACACATAATGATATTTATTACATTTTTACAAAGCTTCAGAACAATAAAACTATTTTACATAAATATGATTTTCACTCCTCTAATCACCTACTATTTATAAATATTTACTTTCCATATTTTTCCAGTGTTTCACATATCTCTGTAATTCCTCAGGCTAACTGACAGTAGCTGTAGCCGTGGCTTCATCAGAAGAGTTGTTTAGTCACCCTTTTCTTCACTGGAGCTATTGGAATTGTTACAGCATTGTTGTTGTGTGACAGTTCCTCTTCTTCCACCTCCTCACCTTGCTAAATTATCATTTTTAGAAAATTCTTCCCAGCATGAAACATCACTTAATGAAGAGCCATTAAACTATTCCTGCACCCATTTGTGGTGACCTCCTTTGCTATAACACTGTGTTGCTCTTGGAGAACATTTCCTGATACATCCTATGTTTTCACTTTTCTAGTTGTTTTTTGTTTGGGTGTTTTTCTTTCTTAATGAGGTCAGAGAGGTGTCATCATAGTAATATGAATAACAAAGTCCAGAGTGGCTGAGGAATGTACTATGACCAGGTAATTAATACTCAGAAACAAAATGAAGCTTTCTGGAACAGGTGAGTTGTTATTTGGTTTTAGAAGAAAGAAAGAATGATCAAACTTAACAAAATGCCAAAAACAAACACCATTTTAAGGAATGTGTGATCTTCTTGGCAGGTAGGTCTTGTTTTTAGGTAATGATCCACAGAATCTGCAAATGAGAATTTCTTCGGTTTGTAACCGAGTTGATTTCGTGCCTTGTCTATTCGGAAAGTGTGAGTTACAGTGACATTCCACACCTAAAAGCCAAAAGGACAGTTATGGCAGTGACTTTAATATCCAATTTTCTGGAACTTGGATGAAAATATATCAACAATGATATTACAATGGAAACAGAACACAAAACAGAGCTGCAATGCAGACAATCCAAAGGGCATATCATGTCCTTAATGAGAATGTGAGTCAGAAATATATAAACATTATCTTTTTTTTATATATTTACCTCATTCCTTGTCAAGAAAGGTGTAAAGCTAAAAACTGGCTTTAGTATCAGGTGCAAATATTCCATCACTGTGGCTGTGAAACAGAAATTACTTAATGAGACATCTGGTTAACAATAAACTGAGACAATGCTGAGATTATACATCCTGTAATTCCTACTGGCAGAAGGCACTGTTTAATTTATAAAGTACATGATGAGTTTATGAATAGCCTTTCAACTTTATCTGCTATAATTAATACCACATGGCATAAGTGATTATTCTCAATTAAAATAATGTTAATTTAAATAATTCCTACAATTTTGGCCCCTGCATTTTATAAAACCACTATGTATCTTCATAGGAAAAAAAAACCCCAAAAATAAACAACCCACAATAATTAAGAATGTATTTTATTTTTTTTTACCTGCTATATGAGCCAGGAGAACAGGAATATGTATCCAAGGTTTCCTGTAGCCTAATTTTTCAAACTAAAAAGGGTATAAAAAGAAAGAATAACAGAGAACTTATACAATGTTGAAAATGTCATTGAGGCATGAAATTAAAAAAAAATCTTTTTGATAAAACTTGTATCTAAACTTTTTTTTCCAGCTCATCTTCCTGTCAATACAGGTAGTAAGAAATGTAATTGAAGCCCACCACTCATTCTTTGGTGCCCACCTTTCACCCTTCATCTGCAATTGGACAGTAAAGGGGAGCAAAAGCCATTTCCAAGGGGGAAGTGACCCAGACTGGAATACTGAACTACAGTTCAATACAGGCCCAGTTTTCTGCTGCAGTCATTTCCTGTGCTGGCATTGCAGGATCAAAACTTTGGCATGCTCCTAGAATCCCAGCCCGATATTTCTGAAAATACAGTGCTGTTTCTTTTTAGCTTCTAAGATAAGATTTTCACTGGGCTTCCCCTCTGTGCTGCAGCTGATGCCAGGACAAAGGGATAAGCAGTGGCTGTGAGAGTCCTGCCAGATGCCAGTGGCAGAGCTTGTGGGTTTGCTTCATGAAGTGCTCTGTCCTGCAGCAGGTTCTGGACCTCCCACCTAAATCCTCTCAAAGCAATAAGGCCAAACTCCACAGTTACACATATCCAAAACTTCTCTTAACACCAGTGGAACTTTGGGATATGCAGGGAAAACAGGACTGAGTTTAATGTTAAGTAATTCAGTAATTTCTGTGCACTGAACTTAATTTAGTTGGTCTGGTGTGTCAGTCAGTGACAGGACTTGTGCCCACACGGTGCTAGGAGCTGCAAGGCTGTGCAGTACCTACCAAAGGCACAATCCACTCAGAGAAGATGACATTTTCACCATCATGGATGTAATAAGCCTGGCCACTCTGGTAAAGAAGCAGAGAAAAACAGTGACAAAACTGTGCACAGGATGGCATTTTCTGTCTCTCCCATATCTACCTACCTGTCATGATTTTGTGAGCCTGCACAAGGTGTCTGTACACAGAGGAAACTGCCTTCACTGGGCTTCACTGTGGTAACCCCACAGTGGTGGCAGGGCTCATGATGATTAACCATGGTGCAGTGTAGATCAGAGCTCAGTTTCCCCATGTAGTAGCCCAGCTGTTGGAGCATTATGTTCTTCATGATGTGCTGGGCACAGAATGACCTTTGTGAGTCCAGCAGAAGGGGCAGCACTGATGGCATTTAACAAACACAGCTCTGAGGTCGAGTTCCAGCTGTGCTCTGGATGAGGAGTTTGCCCAGCTCTGAGTGCCAGGAGCACCTGAGCACCCAAGCAAACCTGGGACTCTGGGAATGGCATCAATCTAAAACAGCTGCGTGGCTTCCAGGTGCTGAACTAATTGAGAACACATGGAGAGGTGTTCCCCTGTGTCAGTACCTGTTGTCTGTATGTTCCTACCAATCTAAATGAATCTGGGACCTTCAGGAACTGTGAATGAAGCAGCTGCTGTAATATTGTCAGTTCTGTAATGCTTCACAGTCCTCAGGTTGGTCTTGCAATTGTGAACAACAGAACAAAAAGAAAAACATTTAAAAATTGTCCATTAAAATTGTCCAATCTCTTTTTGGAATTTTCAGCTCTGAAAATTAAACTGGAATGCCTCAGAATGGTTGCTCTAAATTTTATGCATCTAGGTCAGAACCTATTTCAAGAGAATAACAGGATATATAGATTTGTGTAGTGGTGAATTAATGATATATTAAGCTAGTTAAAAATACAGTTTCCTCCAGTAACCCAGGAAATTATGTATTTTCAAACCAAACAAAAACATCCTCAAAATATGAGCGAAATGTATTTGCATTTGCACTGTCTGTGTGCCTCTGGAGCTACACACCATTTTAGAGAATTTAGCATATGACTTTTTGGACACTCTTTGATCTCAAAACATCAAAAATTAAGCCTGTTTGAGAACTCAAGCTAGTAGTGATTATATTGTTTACTTACAGCTACATAGCCCTTCTCAGAGGTGAGAGCCTCAGCAGCCAGTAAATGAGCTTGCACTAGATTTCCTATGTGAACCCAGTTCATCTGAACTTTGTGATTCCCAAACTTGAAGTTAAAAAGTCTCCGCTGGATATTTATCTGTAGAAACAGAAAACACGAGATAACTACATTATTCCTTTATTATGCATGATAATATGATTTTGGCTCAACCCAAATACTTGGAATTTGCTGTATTTGTGTGCAATTACAGCACAAGAAACCTGTCACAAGAGAAACCCCAACTAGTGGGTGGTTTTGGAAATGAAAGATGGTTGCACTGATAGGCAGTGGCAAAATATAGTGACATTATATTTTTCGGCAGAAAGTAAAGTGCATATTTAAAAGACAATTTCCATTAAATGATAGGGTTGCAAACCTAGTTCTTTTACCATGGCATTTCAGCCTTCCACTTTTCACTGAGAAGCCCAGCTTGGTCCTGGCCCGCAGTGCTGCTTTCCTGCTATTTGTTACCCTGCACCACATCCCCTGTCCCCAGGCTTTCAGCACATTCCTGCAGGAATGGTTAAGAACTGCAATCAAGGTACTACCGCTTGTGTTATGCCCTTACAACTACTTGTGGTGTCCTCCAGAGCTGACTACAAAACACATACGGCTACTCGAGGCAGGTGCCGCTGCTCTTCTGGTCCATAGATGCCCGGCGGGCGAAGCACACACGTGTGGAGCTTGTCCCCTCCTTGGAGAGAGAGCAACAGGTGACTGTCAGACAGCTGTGACAGCAGCAAAGGGCTGACACACATTGGCTGAATTTTACACTGTCAAAATTAAGGCTCATTTTGACCATTCTGAGTGGTTCGGCTTCCTGGGAACTTGATTTTATTTTTGTGTGAGATTGAATTCAGTAGTCGTGACAGACCTGAGCCTAGCAGCCTGAAAACCTTCTTGGGATTACAAGAAGAACCCATTGGACAGTGCTTACAAATTGGTATTATCAGAACAGCTAATTATCCACTGAAGAAAGGAATAGAAACAAATAAATCCTTATTTCAGTTAAAGTATACTATTGATGAATGAGCAACTAGAGAAAGGAATGCCCATTAGCACTCCTAATGATAGAAAAGCCCCAAATGCTTTATATGTACCTTTGAGTAAAGTTCCATTAGCAGCAAGAACCATTTGGTCTGCAATTGCCTTGGTTCTGGAATAATGATTAAATTGCTATAAGGAAGCAGAATAAGATAATTATTGAATCTGTAAAGGCAACCTTATTGTATGACTGACAACATTTCAATCTAGCCAGCTCACAGATATCAGCTGTGATATCTATATACTATATTAGTAAGATTTAATAAATATATAGTTTGTTTATGACAAAAAAATACTTAGACTTCAGTGGCTCAAGTTTAGCTTCAGAGTGAATTTAAGTCCATTTGTATTTACTTAGCTCACTTTTTATGCTGAATGTACTGAGAACATCCACAGTAAAACAGCTTTTACTCTCACAACAGCCTTTACACAATGTACCCTTTGGAGCACAGTAAATGCCACACCATCCCATGGACAAAGTACCTTTTCCAGTGGAAAATATGGTACAGTTTCTTCATCTCCTTCTTCAATAGGATTCCCTCCAAACACCACATTCACTGTACTGGTATATATCAGTCTAGGGATATTTCTTTGTTTGCAGACTACAGTGATACACAAAATAAATTATTTTAAAACAAAAATAAAGAGGGAGAAATAGCTGAACTGGCAGATTTTGTTTTTGAAAACAAACATTACAATTATAGAAGAAAAGGTAATACTTTAATTTTAATGTTACCTTATCATTTAATATAATACTATCTTCCATTCAGCTGGAATTTTTCATCGAATATGTGAATATTACACATTGTAGTCACCAACTGTTTCATGATGATGTACCTGTAACTATCACATCACTGGATTGCAGTCAGGGTAGAGGAATTATCTCAGTGGGGGGAAATTCCCCCTTGAGAAACCTTTCTTAAAATATGTTCATTTTACAAACTGAATACAAAGGAGATGAGTAAGAACATTTGTTGTGGTCCAGCCCTTGGGGCAGTGCTGTGGGGAGCAGCCACTCCAAGGCCACTGAGGAGGGTTCCATGAGCTGCCTCTTGCACCCCACTTTGATGGAACACACAGGAGCAGGGGCCAGCTCTGCCCACGTGCCACACCACTGCCTTTGTCTCAGTCTGTTCACAGTGACAAATGATGTGTTAACAGGAAAACATGCTCTGCTAGTGTATAATCAGCCGTGCTTTAAATACAAACGAAATTAATGTTATTTGCAAAACAAAGACTTAATTATGGATTCCAGTCCTGTGTAGCTAAGACATCTAGCTAAATTCTGCTGCATGTCTGTCATTGCAAACTTGAATAATGTAAATTTCCTTCTCATTTAACAATATTTCTAAAGTTGAAGAGAATTAAAATGCAAACTCAGGAATTTTTAGAATTTACAGAGCAGTCTGTCCTGCTGGTTCATTGGCTCATTTTGAAAATAAGAAATGTTTATTGTTGTAAATATTTGGGAAAAAATACAGTAATAAGGTGTATGATTACAATGTAGATGAGCAGGTTCATGCTCCTCCCAGTGTCTTGGTTTGCTGGGAGCCTATGGAAATTTGACATGACATGTTTCTGTGGGTTTGGAGGTTGGGGAAGGAAGAAGGCAATATGTGGCAACTCTTCCTTCTAACTAGTTTAGAGATTTTTTTGCCTACTATTCCATTTCTGCATTTTTTTTTTCAGTAATAACACACAGGCAGAATGAAAATTAGTCTAAATAAAAGCTGGTTTTGCCATTTTACTGCCTTTTTTTTTCTCACTTGTTTTTTGAGGGAAAAACAAAGAGAAGGTAGCTTTGGTATTTACAGTACACTCAGGAAACGTTCTTTCTGGAATTTAATATACTGAAAGAGATCTACTGGCATCTTCCAGAGACAGTAATTAAGAATCTGTATATAATAAAAAGGGATCACAGTAAGCAGAAAGGATGGAAAGTTTTCTGTATTAATGTGATAAAATAATAGCTAAATATACTTACACGTGTGGTGCCTGTTACCAGATGTTTATGACACAACAAACAGTACAATAGCTCTCATGTTATTTCTATGAGGAAAGAGGATAACACTTCTCCATTACACAGAGTAAAGGCAAAAATAACCAGTACATGGAGGAGAGCTTTAGTTGGACTGCCAAGGAATGAAGTCCAGGTTGAAAATCTATCCCCATTTCAAACCAGTGGCAAATCTACCAGCTTTAATGGGACCTGCATACTCAGGTTTACATCATACTCTGACAGGAGGCAGAGAAGAGCCTCATTTTACTGTCTGATCTCCACAGGAAACATCCAGTTAGAAAGTTTTTTAATTCATGATTTGGCTCTGATGCAGAGAAAGAAAATCTAGGTACCTACCATCAATTATTATTTTTGTGCCTCCAACATTTATGGATTCAATCTGATCTTTCTTTTGAAGCTAGAAATAGAATTTGCACAAGATTGAATTAATCAAACAAGTCACATTTACCATATGATGGTTACAACTGCCAGATCTAGAATAGCCGAGCTCTTTTTGTGATACATGTTACAGTTCTGTCTGTTTGACATACAGTGATTTCTGACAGTTCTCAGTTTTACTGTCTTGTTCAGTATATGAGCAAAGAAAGTTGAAAAATGAAAGATAAAGTGCATCTAAAAGGAAATAATGATACTTCAATATTTTGTCACACTCCAGACAATCCATGATACAGAAACAAGAATTACAGGCAGGGGTTATGCTCCCTGAAAGCTTTCACAAGTTCTTGTTCCAGTGGCAATCTGTCCTGTTCCTAGAAATAAATTAGTAGGTTCATGATTTTTTGATAACACCTTCTGTGACTATCATTGTAATTCAGCATAACATATTGATTGTGGTCTGTTTCCTCATGACTGAGTTCACAAGAAGAAAATGCATCAGTATTAGTTTTAGATCAATGCTGTCACTCTTCTTCAGATCAGAGAAAAAGGCTACACCTTCCTATCCAAGATCTTTAAACTATGATCTCATTTTTCTAGAATATTTTGTAGTACATTTCTTTCACACTTTGACTTTATTATTTAAAGAATACCTCCCTTATTTCCTGTATGGATGACTTGGCCTTTATAACAACTTCTGACATAAATATTATAAAATTGCATTCATTGTTACAAGCAGACAGATTTTTCCTTCTCAAAAATAGCCAAAGAAAACTTTAAGAAAATGGTACTTGCTTGTTCCAATCCTGACATGCCACATGCAGCTACATGGAAAACACAGTCAACCCCTTCACATGCTTTGAACACTGCTTCATAATCCCTCACATCACCCTGTAAAACGAGAAAAGAATGGATTTTTGACAGGTAGAGCTCCTACATTCTCTATAGAACTGTATTCACTATGGCTAGTATGGAAAATCTAAAGGTATTCTGGTCTGTCTTTACAGTATTTAACAACAATTAAATATTATGAGCAGGCAGAAAAAGCAATGACTAAGAATTTTGCCAGTATTTTGTTGCAAAACAAAGAAAGATGACTCTTGTTGGCTTTAATTATAATGCATATTTTCACACTTAGTCCTGCAGCCTCCAGGCTGGCAAAACTTGTTTGACTTGAATGGGAGCAGCAAGTGCTCGAGGGCTGCAGAATGCAGCCCCAGGGACAATAAATCACAGCAGGAAGGGTTCAGCTGTCTGCCTTGGAATCACCAAATATTTCAAAATATTAGATATTATATTATTTCCTGCAATGAAATGGATAGAATAACATAGAATAATTGATAGAATAATATTGAGCTAATCTAACCAGTCTTTTTAACTCTCAATTTTTTTCTCCTAAGGTTGCCAAAGTATTTCACAAATACAGTTGACTTACACCTCCCACCCTCACTGCAATGCTACAGGAGATAACCAGTATAAACAATATTAGCCATCTTCAAATCACTGCTCAAGGCTCAACCCTCTGAAGTCACTTATTCATTTACTAGGACTCCATAGTTCAATTTCCAGGTAACTCTCTTACACTTTGTAATATTTATTCTTTCTAAATTGATTTATTAAAAAACTCTGTTCTAGAAGATAATTTGTGAGAAGCTCGAGTCCCCTTTAGAAGATGTAAATTGCCATCAGTCCACAAACTTAAATTAAATTATGTAGACTTATAGCATTAACAAATCAAACTTATGGTGTTTGAGTAGTTCTTCAATAATACTTTATCCCTCTTCCATATTCTGTAAAAGTTGTTTATGAAACTGAATTTAAAAACATCCTGGGTCAGACAAGTTCTACTTAGCCTGGTATTCTGCTCTCCCCAGAATCATTTATCCCCTCTGCTGCCCTTCCACCTGCCCCAAAGGAGAAAACCAGGCATCACAATGTCAGCCCGCAGGACCAAGGTCCTGCCATCAGCTTCCCAGTTCCAGCGGGGGTGGCAAACGCTCTTACAGGGAATGCTCAGAAGAGACCAGCTGAGCAATACCCTGGGTCTAGCCAGAATTTGTGTGACATGACAGGAGCAGCCAGAAAGTGCCCCCAGAGCCCAAACCTGAGCACCTGGAGCAGCTGTGAGAGGAACTCAGGAATGTGTCCTCCACACATGGCAGTGAGCTGTCAAATGCTGGAGACCTCTTGTGTTCCTCCTTTTTTTAGACACAGTACTTCCTTGAATTGTTCAAAATCAAAAAGATCAGTGCTCATACATGGGTGCTGCAGGAAGAGCATGAACATGGCAAGCAAATGTGGAGCTTTCTCCAGAATGCTCTTCTAGTCTTGAAGCATTTTCATTCAGAAGATTTCTTGAACCTAATTTAATTTATCTATTCAGCAGTTTCCAATGGAGGTAAATTTTTCTTGAGGCTTGGTCCATGTCTTTTACTCACTGCACGAAAAGCCACATCCTTTTGTTTGTACTGAACTGACTCCTCATTCCTGATGGCCCTTCCTTCTTGTACTGGAAGGACAGTGGACAATGCCACTCACAGCCTGTAGAGCCCTCCCAGTCCTGAGTCACCTCTTTCCCAGCCTGGAAATCCCAGAAATCCCAGTTTCCTCAATCATTCTCTGCATGGCAGTAGTTTGGCATTGTGATTCCTGTTATTGTCCTGTCTTGGCTCTCACCTTTTTACTTGAAAAATTCCCCTGAGCAGGAACCTTTGTCCCTTCATTGTTCAGTTTCCCCTGGGCACTGAATGGCACCTCCCAGCAGAGCATCACTGGTGACACTGGAGACCCTGGGACCCTGTTTGCCATCCCTTAATCAGGTACTTATGCATGCAAGGACCTTTCACCACAGCTTCTTCTTGTCCTGAAAGGCTTTTCCATAAATGTTTTAATCAAAGGTCCTTAAGAGGAAGCCTTGGTAATGAGCATCAGACATGGAACTCCAACATACCTTGAAAAAATCTGCTCCGTGTGGAATTTCCCATTTAGGTTTCCGAAGATCAAACAGCACAACAGCAATTCCCGAGCTAACAAGGGCACATCCCAGATGGTACCCCAGGTAGCCTCCACCTCCTGTCACCATTGTCCTGCTGCTCCTGGGAGCCAGCAGCCCAGCAGCCTCTGTCACTTGGCTCTCGCAGGGTGGGCTGCTCTGGAGCTCTTCCGCGGATCCCTCTGGCATCACGACTGCAACAGAGAAAATCTCTTGAAAATTCCTGCATAATGCTTTGAGGTCTGGGTAATTTCAATTACTTTCACATTACAATGCTCCCATACTAGTTTTATTATCTTAGTATGTTTAAAATGTATAAATTCGTAATTTTGGTGATGGGTTTTCTATGTATAATGTTTAATAAGTCTGAATACTTTTATATTCCAAGATTAGAATTTTCCTCATATCCCTAAATTTCATATAATATAGAAATGAAGAGAAATTACAGGATTTTAGAGCCACTATAATTACCTAACCTTAACAGCTGTGATGATATTTTTTTAACACTTGGTTTAATCAAACATTTTATCCTTGAAAGCTCATTAACTTCTGATATATTAATGCCAAATGGATGTTATCCTACTAGTCAGGAAAACAAACCAAGACAGTAGATAAGCAATATAAGAAAAAATTCATTCTAGTTCTAAAATCAACTTTATTTCACATTTGGGTCTTTAGCAATGATAAAAATTTGTTACCATTTTAAGTTTTTCTGGTTATATATTAAATATATTGCTTTTTCTGTCCAGTTGTCACTAACTTTTGACCATATTGTTCTTAGTAGGGCATTCATAGACAGCCAAACCAACAAGGGGCAGAAGAGATAAGCTGTCTGCCCTGTGGGTTCATCTAGTTGGGAAAACTGATTAGAACATCATTCTAAGATAACAACTGCATGGGAGTTACCCATCTGTACAGCTTACTCTGTATTGCAAATCAATTTATTCAACATTAATCACTTGGCATCACAAAATTTAATTTTCCCACACAGAGAGCCCCTGTTGTCCTGATTCCATGCTTGGCCTTTGCTCATTGGGATCTAGGCTCTTACACTCCAAACAAAAATCCAGAAGAAATCTGCAATCAGTCATGTCACCACAAAGTGGGAACCAAATGGGGTGCTTGCAGTCTAGTACAGGAACATGGACCCAATCTCTGCAGATTGTGTTGGTTTTCTCACAGTTGGAGAGCTCCTCATACGAGAGGAGCCTCACAGTTCAGTACAGTTTGCTCTCAGCCATTTACACCGGGCTGCAGCAGAGCCCAGGCAGAAACAGGGCAGGGCTGGGAGCTGGCAGCTCTGTCACTTCCAGGTGACAAAAAAATTCTAGAAAACAACACAAAATGCAGCCACAGCACACAAAATTATGGACTACATTAGCCATTGCCTACTTAGTATTTTATACTTTTATTTGTGATATTCTTCTTATTTTATATGTTGGGTTGTAGATTTCAGACACAGGAAAGGACCATACTCTCTATGCTGTTACATGGTTTTAACACCAATGTCAGCTCACTCAGCTCAGTAAACTGAGTGGCATAACAGTGTAAAACACAAGCTCCTTATGTTGAAAAACATCCTGACACTTCAAAAATGAAAAATAATTCATGTTTCCAAACAAAATTTAAATTAGAATTAACATAATACAACTAAAACAAGTATGCTGTCCTGTTCAAGCAAGGAAACATAAATTTGTATCTCTAGAGTATGCTGTGCAGGAGTCTTAAGCAACATAAAATTCTTTTGCCTTCTGAGAAAAAGCATCTTTTCATAAACTGTAAGGAGAAGTCAAGTCAAGCTTATCACATATATTATAAAAAGACATTTGAGAAATGGTATATATTTGAATATTTCTCATTAATACCTCCTTAAGGTTTTAGCAAGCTGGATGTTGCATAAAAAAGTTTAAAGTTTTCTAGAAATCTCTTTCTTAAAAGCACTAATAGCATTAGTGTATTAATCTTCTTCATGGATTTAGAAAATTGTTTTCTAATTTTCTATTTTCTTTTTGAAAATGCTTCTTTTCAGAAGCAGTAACTTGCTTTGTTCTCTGAATTTATAGGAGCTATTCTTATTTATTAATGTATTCTGCATGATGAGCACAGTCACATCTCATGCAGCACATGTGGTGTGAGTTGCTCTTAGCTCCCCTACTGTCATTTCAAAGATCAGAAATGTTCTAATTACATCCCATAAAAAGTTACAGTCAAACACATCAGGTTTTTAAAAACAGCTAAAGAAGTAGTAAGTACCCTTGGTAGAATCCTGCTGTCAGAGCTCTCCCAGGCCTTCCTGTGCAGGTGGGAGGGTGAGATGTCTCTGTGCTGGACAATTCGTGACTCAAGGGCATCCGGTGCTCTCAGGCAGGCAGAGGAGTTCCCGTGTGCTCAGGCCTTTTGCTCTTCCTGCTCCTTTGTAGCTGGTGCTTGGCTGGGAGTCAAAAAAGGGCAGGGCTTAATTGGTACATAATTTACGTTCCTTTTCAGGAAAAAAAATTAAAAATTCTCCACATCAGACCATTCTTAACAGGATGGTAGCTCTCACAAACCTGGTAAAAGTGTAAGACACTGCACAGCACAAATAAACCATTGGTACCATCATTCTGTAGATAAGCTGCTAGAGAAGGAACAAAAATCCTGTTTGGCAGTGCTACTCAGCACTTTCATTCTGACTTTTATATCTCCATCCCCAACCCAATTTTGCATTTGCAGAGAGGCTTAATTGTAGGCACATGGGTTGTTCTCTGGCTTCCAAGATGAATATGAAGGTAATAAACTACCTTGTGCTTAACAGAACAGGAAAATAGGCACATGGGTTGTTCTCTGGCTTCCAAGATGAATATGAAGGTAATAAGGTAATAAACTACCTTGTGCATAACAGAACAGGAAAAGGTGATGTCCTGTTAAATAATGTGTTTCAAATGAATGATGAATTAATGAAATTATTAATAGTTATATATGTCCTCTGTCCTAAGATTTTAAAGCACTTTTAAAACATATGCTTTTGCAAGTTAAACAATGAGAAATCAAAGCCAACATTTTTAAATGGGTGTGTCTAAAATTAAGTCTCAAAACAGTAGTTAAGATGCTAAAGAAACACTCCCACATCTAAATATAAATTACTACAATTTTCAATGTTTTCATGTTGGAAATATCTTAAGTGCATAGGTAACCAGTTGCAAGTTAAATGTAATTTAATGTCCATGTGCTGACAAGAACTCAAACTGACACCTAGGCAAATGTATTTCACATAATGTGTATGTTCTAAAGTTCCTATCATTGGCATTAGAACCAGAATATTGAACCTGTCAAATTAATCTGCACTTCTTGGACTGCTGAGTGAGTGACAAGCTCAGTTCACAGGAAAATCCCCAAGAACACCAAACTGTCTGTTTTGAGCTGTCCACAGCCATGACAGCTTTTACCATTTAATGCAAGAAATAAAGTGCCTGTTCTATCCCTGAACTATTCCAGAACTCCTTCAAAAGTCAAAGCAGCTTGTCAGCTTATCTAAAGGATATCAATTCCTCACTCTTCAGTGAAATTTAACAAAAAGCATTTTAACTTGGCTTTGGTTTCCACCTTGGCAAGAAGGGGGCACCTCAGAGGATTTTTCAGAACTGGTATTTTGTACCTGCCCTGTTATGCTTATTCTCTTACCTTTAGTAAAGAAGGATGATCATATTTTATTCAATGCATCCTGCTAAGTATTTCTGAAAGAAACAGAAGCTAAAGTCACAAGGAGAAAAGCTGCTGCATTAAGACTGGAGCTTGCTTTTGGTCTTGAATCATAACTCTATACTGCCTTTTTCTACTTTTTCTCCTATGACCATTGATAGTTCCTGTAGCCACACAGAAACAAACATAACATCCAGTACTTACAGCAGATGACTATAATACACAACAGGAAGGTGTCAGGGAGTTTGTCCATTTATTTAAATGGAGGAGGTCCACATTTCTGAAATGTTTGGCTTATCAAAATGTTACTCACATCCAGACTGTAAAGCAATGTTGAAATGTAATTGCACTGTTTCATAGAGGAACCCAGGACGCTTACACAAGTTCATTTCAAATCACATGCTGCTGGAGCCAAGCCTGAATTGAGTAAGGAGCATTTGGCATAAGACAGACAAGACAATCTCTGTCCCCAGCACACAAAGCCTGGTCCCTGGTTCTGGTTCTGAACACTGCTGGGTACTGGACCCCAGAGGATTTCATACCATGGCTCAGAAGGCAGAAGTGTGAGACCACGTCTGTGTCCTGGTCACTAGCACGTCCTGGGAGCTTCACAGCTCTGCACTCCCAGCTCACAGAACAGGAGCTGTGCTCCAGCTGTGGGGTAACCTGAGGAATGGTTTTCAAGTGTGGAAGGTCCTGTGCAGAAAGGAGCCTTTAACAGAATAACCAGAGCATGAAGGGCTCGACAGAGGCGTGAGTTAAGATGACAGCCAGATATTTGGTGTGAGTCACAGGCAGGATGGGATGTTCTGGAGTGCCCAAGGGCAGGGAAATAGCAGAAAATCAGACGGGACTAAGCTCTCTCTTAAACCTTCTTAAGGACAGGGTTTTGCTGAAATACCTGCCATACAAAGAATACCTTCTCTTCAGCTGACTTACTAAAAATTTCTGCATCTAAGCCCAAAATTAGTAGAGCTGTCCAAGCTTGCTGTGTGTTTGAGCACCTGCTCGTGCACTTGTTCACATGCAGATGCCCATCAGAGGTACTGACACAGCCTGTGAGCTCAGAGTGGTGAGACTTGTTTGGACAGGGCACAGAGTGCTGATTCCCTCGGCAGCCCCAGAGAAGTCTGGGCAGAGCTGTTGCAGGGTGTAAGTACTTTTGACTAAGGGAACTTATCTCTTTGTGACTACAAAAACAACACCCTCACAAGGATGTCTAAAACAGCAGAGAGCTGAGAGAAGGAAGTGACAACAGTAAGTTATTCACCCTTTATGTGAGAGAGGAGAGAAAATGTTAAAAACTATTTAAATCAGGTCTTGCAATGTCAATAAAGAGAAAAAGAATAGAGCTCTCCTCTAATTATGTCTAGCTGTGCTTAGAATTTTTAGTCAAAAAGATTAATCATGGGATCTGAATTTGGGAAAGGAAGCTTCAGAATACTTTCCATACAACCAAATGCTAAACATTGGTACATATCAAACATTTCTAAGGCACGAAGTCATCCTTAAGAAAGTTTATCAACACAATATTGGTACAACAACAAATGCAATGTAAGACCCAAACTGTTATGATAACACAACATTCTTGACATTCCTTACTAAGTTAGAGGAGTAAGACACAGAGGCAAAGCAGCTTACCCATGTCATGCTCCCAGTCCAGGCCAGAAGGGAAAGGAAGATGCAGATCCTTATTCCTTGCTGCAAAGCTAAGAGATCAGGTTCTTCTTAAATCCCTCCATTCTTCATTAACATACATAAATATTCTCACTCTATCCTTCCTTTTTCCTGTTCCTTTGTGTATTTGTGTTACAGTTCTGCATATTTCACTGTTTCCTCATGGAAGGAATAAAGCACACGTAAATACAGCCTTGGAATGTGCCCCATAAAATGCTTTTCAAATGACTTTGTTCTCATTTCCTTTGCATTCGTGGTTACTTTGCATGTTACACAGATTGATTTACAGGTCAAATGAAATGATAACTCTGAGCCTGCATTGCCAAGTCAGGATGGAATTACAGGAAGAAACAAAGCAACTTCTTACAGCAGCAATGAACATCCCTGTATCAGCCCTTGGGTCTTGTTAAAGAAGAGGACAGTTTATGCAATATTTGAAGGGAAGGAATACAAATGCATCATAAACAAAAATACTGCATTACATTGCACTGAACAAAGGCACGTTTCTGTACAGTTAGCAGGGATCACAGCTTGGCTTGCTACACATGGGAATCACAGAGAACAAAAGTGTTGAATAAACTATACAAATGCATGTTAGAAAGAAATTATAACACCAATTCTAACAGGTTTGTTATTTGCTAATTCTTACTCTATTTAGAAATGCTTGGTACCACATTAGGAGTGGCCACGGTGACAGAGGCAGCCCGTGTCACTGAAAGGAGATAAACTTGTGGCTTACAAGGTCTGCCTAAGCTACTTATCAAATTCTGGGTATAATTTAAGATTCTAACTGAAGAACTCTCATGTGATATGAGTCAGAGATTATCAGGTTCCTTATAAATTCATTCTGCCAGCACATTCACTACCTCAAACCTAAATTATCATTATTGTAACAGAGACAGAGAAGAAAAAGGGTATTTTCTGATGCTGGCAAATTTCTGGAATTGCATTTTCTCTTCTTCCTCTCTCTTCCTATTACTTATTTATTTAAACTAATCAGCAAGCAAATATCTCATAAACATCTGTTTGAGATGGTTTCACAAAGGACCAAAGTTCAGTGGAATGAAATGTACATCTGATTTAAATGCATTAGAGATTCCATGAACATTCCAGTTACATAGTTGTATTAACACATTTGGGTGCCTAAAGTCTTGGAAGTTTGGAGTAACAAATCTGGATTCATGCTGACAGTAGCAACATGCTTATAAGGCACAGAGAAATTCTTACTGAACAGAATTCTAAAGGACACAACACACACTGCCATTACCTTCCTTTGAAGCAGCATGAACTGCTGGGGATGACTCAAATTCAGGCATATTTGGATGGAGGAATTTGTCACTATGCCACGCTGTCCCACCCTTGTCCTGGAAGCTGTCCCCTGAAGCAGTGATGGCTGAACCATGCATGAAGGAGTTCCTGGACTGCCAGTCCTTGCTAAGGGTCATCAACATCTGCACCAGTTAAACCTAGCTGAGCAGCTGGAAACTGGAAATTATGGCAGCACAGCTGCTCCACACAGAAGTTCCCAAGTCCTGCTGTGAAAGCAGCACTCTCCTGAAGGGGGTTGCACACACACGTGGAGGTAACAACTGGTTCAGCCATTTGTCTTTAATTGCTCACAAATCAGCATATTCAGTGAGTCACAGCAATGACATGACTTACAAACAAGCTGCCAGAAAAATATGCATTTGGTCAATTATAAAACTTCTCTTTTATTATGTCTTGAATACAGTGGGTTGCATTCCAGCAAGCACAGACCAGGAAAGCAAATGACATGGAGCTGACAGATCAGCACTGAAGTCACTGAGTATTACTCAGGTCAGCCCCACTGAGGCATCTCCTGGATGAGCCTTCCTGGATGGAAGCAGGCAGGATGGGAGGTTCCAGGTAGGTAGCAAGGAGATGGAATCTGCATTTTAAAGGCAGGAGCTGCTCTGAGGAGGCAGCAGGGCTTGACCAGCCTGTGAGACCACAAGGCTGAACACACAAAAGAAGAGAACTTACAAAAGAAGAGAACTTGGATGGGGTGTAAAGGCTCAATACTGTCATACCTGGCTATTTTACAGCTTCTGTGCTTACACAGATTCTAATATCAACATTTACTCCTTACTTTCCATTGCATTTTCTTGATCAGGATTAAGTGTGTTTCCTTTTAAGTTCTTTTAAAGTACTTTTATAGTAATATAAGACTCTATGCTACATAATTGTGACATTTCTTAAATCCTCCAAGAAACAAACAAGAAACCCTTTTTGGCAATACAGAAAGCTCATCCTTTCTACCTGCATTTACTGTTTTAACATTTCTGTTAGGACAAACCCTCATTTTATCAGTGATTATCATCTATACCCCAAAGAGAAATGTAACCAATCCTATAATTTACAATTAACACTTTTCATATCAAATAATCTCCACAGTTACACACATCCACATACAAAATCACAGAAAATGATGCACAGCACAAAGCACCAGTTTAACTGCAGCATTCCAGTAAAGGCTGGCACTGACATGGAAGGCAGGAGTCACCAGGTTCAGAGCATACAACACTAAATAGATACATTTATAACAGAAATAATTTAAAACTCTTTATATATAGAGACAGAAGAGGTAAAAGGGCAGAAAAGGAGTCACCTGGTTCAGAGCATACAACACTAAATAGATACATTTATAATAGAAATAATTTAAAACTCTTTATAGAGACAAAAAGAGGTAAAAGGGCAGAAAAGACACAATCTCCCACATCACAGCATACCCAGTGGCACACAAGAAGGCAAATGGCTCCTGAATAAATGCAGATCAAGTATCTTAATTTTGAAGTATGAATCCATTTTTATTATATTACATATATTACACATATGAGATGAATTTCTAACCCTCTAAAAGACAACAGTGAACATCTACAAAATACTAGTGAGCTGTCATTACACAAATCCATAAAAAACAAGTATATTTCACAAATCAACTGATACTGGCAAACATATTTTTAATCTTTCCAGACAGGAAATCTGTAAGAACAGAATTGCTCAGAAGATAGGCAGTGTCTGGTTATAAAAACACAACCAGGCTACATCAGCAACAGGGTGTTACTTTCTTGCATGTCTCATCATTCTTGTATCATCAGCTCTAAATCTTTCTTTACTGCCAACACAAAAATCAAAGAGTTCAAATAATTATTAGCAAAACTTCTCTGTATAAAAACATGAATTACAGGCTTTGTTTTCTGCACTAAGGTTACGTCTTGGACGTTCTATGCAAAACTGGCATAAAGAATTCCCTTCCTGACATCACAGCCATATGTCCCATCTGGCAGGGATAATAAGCACCAGTAAAGAATTCTCAAACCAACAGACAAAAAAGACAATTTAGACACACCAGCAACTAATTGAAGAAATTATTAATACAATGCAGTAAAAGAGAAATAAAAGTTGTGATCCTGTATCACTACTGATACATATACTTTTAAAATTTCTATTAGCTATACTGAAAACCATCCTCTACTTATATTTAAACTTTATAGAGTTCAGGGCCTGATTTACTTTGGATCCTGCAAAATCTGCAAGTGGAGTGAGTGCAGCACTTATCATCTGCAACTTCTTGTCTTGCCAACAGTCGTGACAACAAAGAAAAAAATCATCTTTCTTTCTGCTTGAAGCTGGAAGGTGTGAACACACTTTGAAAAGAAGCAGGTGAATGGTATGATTCCAAACCTCTTCAGCATCTTTTCTTCATCGAAAATTTAATCCTACAAGTGAAGCACATGAATACTTTTAAAAATACAACTCAAAATATATAAAATGCATGGGCTCCAGGTCACTATTGACAAAACAGTAATGGAAAATACAATACAAGTGAAACTGAAAGTAATCAAGTTTCCTTACTTCCATGTTTAATGGGGCTACAAGTGCTATGCCCTTTCTGGAGAATTTTAACAGGAATGCTTTCCTACACACTTCACCAGCAATACAGTTTTCCTTGGAATGCTGAGATACAGAGATAGTTGTGGAACACCAGCCTCTACTTCTGCATGCCTGTAACAACTTCCTTGCTCCTGTAGGATGGTTTTATATCTGCTCCCTCTCCAAGCCTCTCTGGGGAGTGATCAGCCTTTAAATGCTGACTTCTGCACACAGGCACACTCTGACACACTCACACACACCCACTCTTGCACACCAGGCTCCAGGTTCCACTCTCCATGAACCAGGCATTCTTAACCAGCAGGTCAGACTGGATTTTTTTTTATTCCTATTTGAATGACTGGGCAATGTTTTTGAACCAAAATACAAACTACAGCTATAGAAAAAAGGTTTTTAAAAAAGCCAGTCTTGCTCTGTCTCTGCCTTACCCAATTCCTTGATGAATATCTTGGCAGGCCAACGTTCTCTAGTGCAACTCTGCAGTTGTCTGTGTCCATTGTTTTTCCTCAGACACCTCTGTGACAAATGCTTCTGTCTTGTTTAACCCTGAGGAAGTACCTGCACCCAGCATTTTCTCTTTTCCTGTGTTTTTTACTTTGCCAATCTAAAGCAGCAGGTTGGCTCTGTGAGAGGTTCAGTTTGCCCAGCTGCCTCTCCCACCACTCTGTAATGGCAGCCCCGTGTTTGCTGAGGGTGTCTTTGCTATTCGTGGGGTCCTTTTTCACTCAGCCTTGTTCATTTAACACATAAATCATGCATGTGTAATTGTTATTACACCATTACATCTGGTTCTAACTCTCTAATGTGCTTAACTGCTTGCTAGACCATGAGTAACTACAAATACACATCTGCCTTGCTCTTTTCACCCCCACCAGTTCTCTTTGAACTCTTCTTTGGTTACATGGGGTTTTACTGTGGACTATCTCAGCTAAGGACTAAAATCACTACAAATGTTTCCAATTTTGAAAAAAAGTCATTGCTAGAAATGAATATATTTAATAAAATATTACCCTCCTCCTGAAATACATGAACTGTACATAAACTGTGATGTAAATGTGGTGACTGTTTACCTGAACATTCTTTTGGAAGCCACAGTTGCCTTTTCGGTTTGGGTTCCATTTTTCAAGCAGTAAGCTGTTTGAAAGAAAAACAAACCCCAAAGAATTACAGCAGTTTTTCACAGAGGCACAGAACACCTTGGAGTCTTTGCTTTGCTCTGTCCTTGGGTGACTTTTCACTGAGGAGGTATAATGCAATTTAAAGTTCTTTGCAGGAACTTTTGCCTACTATTCCTATTGAATTGGTGCTTTCTGGGTCTGGACTGGCAGTTAGGAAGGGTAACAGTGAAGAAACTTAAGGATCAATTCTATTTAATTGTCCTTCACTCCTATTCTATACAATTCTCTATATCTATTTTTTCATAAAACAGACATTGGGAGTCAGATATTCTTGTCTTCATTCCACAAAATAATACAAAAAATATTATTTATAAATACTCACCGCCAAGATTTTGCCTGCTTTAAGAAACTTCTAGCTTTTGCTACTTCTTGAGTAAGTTTATTTAAATCATCTCCTTCAAAGTAAGGGAAAACTGGATTCTGAAAACACAGTTGAAATGTTTTAACTCGCACCTATTTATTATTTTCTGTTTCCCCAACTGAATTAACTGATCCTAAGCTCAAATTTCCCTTGCAGAAAATGTCTTCATCTTACAAGGGGAGAGCAGAGCCAGCCTAGATTGAAGCTGGGTCTGTTCAGTTACATTTTTCTGCTGTGGCAATGCCTGAGGTCCCATGCTGGAGAATGAATGTGCTAAGCACCATATAAGGATTTTACAATTAAATGAAACACAAGATAGGAAGGATAAGAAGACTGTAAAAGCTGAATTTAGCTAAAAACCACATGCAGACTCACAATATATTTTTACTTCTCTTCCAAAACCTGTATTGCACTTTGTATTCTTTTCATGGGCTTGGACACCTCACCAAGGCAGTTAGCAGAAAGGAAAAAACAGATACTAAGATTTCTCTTTTTGGTTTTAATCTGAAATATCTTAGAAGTTTTGTATTATCTTTTTTCCTCATTGTTTTTCTTTTTTAAATGAAGTTTCTCTACTGATGAAGAACTAAGTTGCAATGAAACAAAACAAACTGATTTATTTAACATACATCATCATCATCCAGCCCCTCTGTCAATAGTCTGTGTGCTGCTAATTGTCCATCTTCACCTCCAGAAGCGCAGTGGAAGCGCCCTCCTGTTTGGGAAGCAAGCTTCTTCAGGAATTCAACAGCTCCTCTGTTAGCACAAAGTAGAAAGCTACTTATGAAAATTATTTTCTGAAAGCAACAGCAAAAGATTTCTAAGAACTCCTCAAAAATATGACATCAAAATAAACAGATTGGAGGACATGATTATAAATTCCTGTATGAAATGCAGGCCATGTGGCAATTACCTGTGTCACAACAACCTTCCTCATTACCATCTTGGTAGCAATAAATAAAATAGTCATTTTAAGAGATTTTTGTTTTGTTCTTGCAAAGTATCATATACCTGTCTGCACAGCTAAAAGAAATGGTGTGGATTTTAATATCTTGTTTCTTTATCAATCTTTCCATTTCTGTCAAAATCAGACTGCAACTGGTGTCTGGTTTTCCATCAGTCAATAGATACAGTGCCTCTACACCTTGGAAACTGAGAGCCTTCTGAAAAGCAGAAAATAAGCTTGAATAATTGGTACATTTATATGAAATGTTATACTTCAGAACAAAAACACCATTCCAGTGATTTAAGATAGTTTATAATTGCCAACATATTTATATTTTATCATTAATCAACCTAGTTTTTTCTTTTCATTTTCACTTATTAGGGAAGGAGATCAAGGTATAAATTTGAAAATTAATTAGGTAATTTGTAGCATAAGACAACATATGTATAAGCAGGGCATTGCCAAAAACTGACTCACTGAAATAAGAAAATTAACTGGTTTTGGAGAACTACAGACAAAAGATTTTTACATCATATTTTATGGGAGTTAAAGTTGCGGTTTTGGAGAACTACAGACAAAAGATTTTTACAGGAGTTAAAGTTGTTTAATGTCTGAAAATCAGGCTCACTAGGACTTGAATGATTATTATGAAAGTAATTGACTCAGAGGACATCTTTGTAATATACATGTGTCTTGCAGCTCTGCTGGACTTCATTCATGATGAATGCCATAACATTTATTTAGAGATTGTGCAAGAATGTCTGGAAGAAGAATAGTTCATTAAAGGCAACTTTTTTTTTTATTCCATTTTTAAGTCCTGTAAAATTGCAAGTTCAGTTTTAAGTTATTATTACTAGTTGATTTCTACACTGAAAATTTTTATAGCAGAAAACTTTCTTCATCTGTTACTGAAGTTCAAGAATTGTACTCAAAACCCATGAGATTCCAACAAACACTGCTTATTTAAAACCCTGTTTGGGTCAGAGAAGCACAGCACAGCCACAGCTGTACATAAACATCAGTTTGAGCAACTGGCTATTTTCCCTCTCCAGTATTCTTTGAGCACCAATATTAGCAAAACTATTGGCATTTGACTCTTTTTTTAAAACTCAGTATGAGCAATTACTTTGAGTATCTATGAGCCCTGGGGGCAGAAGCAGTGACTTGATTTCTAAACTGTTCAGTGATTTGCATATAAAGATGTTGTACATTTTGACACCATAATTTTCCTAGAATGTCCCCAGTCAGGTGGAAGTGTTTTACCACCACAGGACATGTTCCTCAGGACACACAGGATGTGTTCTCCAAGCTGTGGCACACCAACCTGTAAAGCTGCAAGGATGCAGGAGCTCCCATGAGCATGGCACGTGGCAGCCCACTGCACAGCATCATGGCAGTTTTCATCAGTTGCCTCTACAAGATACTCTTTCCAACTCTCTGTATTTTCTGCAAATCTCAGCAGGTTAAACCTGAGGAGAAAGATGACCCACAACATTTAACCCTAACCAATACAACGAGTCACTTTGGGTAAGACAGTTTTGAAATAAGTAAATACATAAAATTAAAAAACAAAAAAAATCAAACCAAACCCAACAGTAAAAAACCATGAAACTCAAACAAACCCCCCAGCAAAGAGCCTCGTGTTAGATTAAGATCTTCAGCCTTGGAAAAGTCAAAAAGCATGTCTTACTTTGCATGAACAGAACATCTATGGGAATGCTGAGCCTAAAAGGGTAAACAGCATCAGCCCACAGCAGAGACTCAGATCTTAGAGAGTTTAGAACTTTAAAACTGGTAAAAACAACAGAAAAACCAGCTCTTGTCACATGCACATTATACTCTAACATACAATAATTACATGAATTGTGTTTCAGTGCTGTATCACTGTAATTATTAAGCAATCTGATTACATAATAATGAGTGCAGACTTCAGTCTTTATCAGTAATTCACCATACCTGACTTGATTTTTTCTCAGCTGTTCCCAGATAAGGGAGGTAAGTTCTTTTGTCACAGGTGGCAAATATGGGCCCATGGAGCCAGATGTATCAATCAAAACACAGACATTTGCTTCTAAAATGGTACCAAACCATCTTCGGCTTCCTGGGCCAGAACATTAAAACTAATTAAGAGTTATTACATAGGCTTATTTTATTGAGCATAATGTAAATCTTCAGTCTTTAGGGGTTATTCTGGGCACATTTCTACATAATTAAGTCTAATCTATGTGGCAATTATGTAGTTAAAAGGTTAACAATGGAAAAGTGTTTGGCCATTTCAAAACTAGCACTATCAAGCATTAATTACTAGTTAATTGTAGCAACTTGCATTAAATAATTTGTCCTTTACAATACAGCAAAAAATTAAACTATTTCCCAACAAAGATCTTTATGAGCAACAGAGAGACTGAAATGGTCTTCACCAGTAGTGATGCTGAACATCTAAGCAGGGCACATTCTAATCAAAACATGCAGAAAAGCTAATTTTGCTTGTATATGTTACTGTACATATTCTGCTGATAGAAAACTTCTACTCTGTATTCACAAACACACAAGGAACAAAACCTAATTGTTTGTCAGCAAGCAAGATGTTTGTCAGCTGCACAGATGCTGAATTCTCTTGCATTCACAAAAACAAGTTTTAAACTTTCAAGGAAATGCAAGAGAGAGAACCTTTATTCACACTGGAGGTTCAGAGTTACATTCAGATCCATTCTACCAGAACCAGCAGACAAGAAGGTTTTGTACATATTTGTGCTTTAGAGACAAGCAGAGGCACACCAATACCTGAGAGAAGCCACTGCACTCTCTGGATATAGCGCTGCAGCACCTTCTCCAGCTGCTCTGTGAAGGCTTCCAGTTCTCTGGGCTGAAACTGCAGATGTTTCACAACCCCCTGGAAAAATTCAGTTTGTACAAGAGCATCTTACTTCAAGAAATCTGAGCTGAGCTGCTATATATGCAAAGTTGGCATTGGACATCAGGGAGATGTTTGTGTTTTTATCTATGAAATATGGTAAGAAAAATTCTGTGACTCTATTGCTTGCACTTAAGTTTGTATGCTTCTCTCCAGTCATTACACAAACTGAAACAATCAAGATCCAACATTTTCCCAGTTTCAACTCACACATGATTTTGGTAAGTTTTACTTAAATTTTAAAAATTATTTTTCATACTGTGTGAACAGAAGAGATGTTACACATTCTAAAGAACATGCAGTTTGGACTTCTAATGTGCTAAATGGTCTCTTGCAGTGAATAAAAGACCTTCTTTAGCTTGCTAGTAGAAGTATGATTTAGAAAGATCAGGGAAGAGTGGAGAGAAAAGTCAGAACCATCAATCAACATTCACTAAACAAACACAAAGCCTTTCAATAATGTAGGTACCTGACATCTGCAAAAAACCTACATTGATTTCTGCACTGGGGAAGATAGAACAGTATTTTGCTGACACTTTCTTGTGCAGACACTCCACAGTTGTCTTCTGGTGGGTACAGCTTGGAGCAAACATCAGTCTGGGCAATTCCAGTTTAAGCTTTTTAATACTGTACTTGGTCAGCCACTTGTAAGACAAACAAATGGAGCACTTGATTGTTAGCAAATATCAGAACAGTTTAAGTAATAACACGTTGTACAGAATGACAATTAATGTTTACATTAATTCAGATGGATAGTTCCAAAATGGCAGTAAGGAGAAAAATACCTCTTTGCTTGAACAGATTTCCTCTTCCTCTGGCAATTTGACAGAGCAAACAGATTTTGTTACACACACTGCCTTTGGATACCTCTGATATATTGTACCTATTTGGGAAATGAACAAAGTACCTAAAAAATCACTTATTTAAAAAAATTGTCACCTTCAAAAAATTCCAAACCAAATCTGTAATCAACTGAACCATGTTCACAGGGCTTTTCCTCGGAGCACCTTCGACCAAAAGATCCCAAGGAACTTTACAAAAAAACCAAAACAAAACAAAGAACAGGGAAAAAGTGCCACCCACCTGCATCTAACCTAAAAATCCATGCCACTGTTTGGTAAGTGAAACTTTCTCCCACTCACTGTTCAAAGCACCCTGGTTATCAGGGACTTACCATCCTGCCAGTTTTATAATAGAAGTGCTGATAAGAAAAGGGCTTCACCCATCCCATCCTGATAACACATACCCACATTTCTTCCTTCTTCAGTGTAAAATACAGACACAGAAAGCTCTGGCTGCTTCCTGGGTTTGTGCTTTCCTTTATTCTCAGTCTGAGGCCATTCTTTAACTGTTTGAGCTACAAGTAAATAATAGATAAAAACCCCATTAATTTAGCTCAGCTGGATAAAACTCTTACATGAGAAGAACCCAACCCTGTTCTTCTCTTCATGTATTCCTATTACCACAATTATAAATGCTTCATTTTCTTTGATACTGATTAAGAAAAATCACATTACAGCACTACTTCAGCAGCTTTCATAGAAATGAAACTTTTACAAATAAGAAATTACCATGAGGAAGAATGTCACAGGAGTTAGTTTGAAAAAAATTAGAGGTTTGAACAAGCATAATATTTGTTGGAGAAAGCAGTTAACTTTGTGCAGAGCACCTCAGATGCAAGTATGTTTCCAGATTTGTAAACACTGCTACATATCAACATCAGGAGATTTGAAGACTCAAATTTAACGGAAAGAAAAATAAATTGCAAATGTTAGTGATGACAAAGAAAAAACACAGGAAAATAAATAAAAAAAAGAAATGGAGGAGAAACTGAATTGGCCTTTAAGGGACCAGCAGCAGCTAGAATCAGTTTAAGAGCTTTTGATATACCAGGAGCAGTTGGAAGAGTCAGCACTTCAGACAGCCTGACATTGCTGTTGTACTTTTCCTTCATTACTAGATCATAAATAAATCAAGTGGAACAGCATATTAATTAAAATGGGGTCTGACAGATTTAGTGGCAATGTATACATTGAACTAATAACATAAAGAATGTCTGAACTGCTGAGCCTTGTGGCTTCAGGTATGGGACACAGAGGGGTTCTACTTTCCATCAGACACATGTGGCATTTCCTGATGAAGGTCAGGTGTTCAATCCTAGGACCTGCATTGCACAGCTGTGCAGAGTTCCTTCCCTGCACACTGGAGAAGCAATAGAGGTAAATTACAGCTAAAACTTATCCCAAAGGAATTCCAAAACAAGCACGATGGTTCCTATAAATCTGATTAAATATTACAATTACAGCTGTTTCTAAAATCATAATTTAAATCTCTAACTTAAATACTGTCTGGTAAGCAAAACCCAAAAGAAACTGAAGACAAGAAGCCCCTAATCCATACAGACCTGGTGGAATTCCTGCTTTGGCACTGGGAGGACGCCATGCCAGTACTCTTACAGGAGTATTTCCCTCTGCACCATGATTGTCTTTAACATCCTTAAGCACCTTCAATAACAACAACAAGAAAAAAGTAAAAAGTGCTTCAGATGTATCATAACTGCATTATTCTAGCCTGGAACTATGCTTCTTTATTATTTAATTCCTGCTTTACTCTGGCTTTGACAAATCCACAGACTGCCATGAAGCACAGTAATTTGCAGTTTCTTCCTGGTTTAAGTAAGTCTAATGGCTCTGCTTTAATTATCTTGCCAATATCATCTGCCACCATAAACCTGAAGACTAACACTTACAGGGAGAGGAGTTTGGACCATTTCTGCCCCTTGAAGGAGCAGTCTGGTATGGTAATGGCCTTGCTTTATAGAATACAGTATTTAGTATCTTCCTCAGCATTTTAGTGACTATTGAAAATCTAGTGCTGACACCAGTAATTTCTCCTTTGGTTTGGCTTATCCCTCTAGGGGTTGAGCAGCCTGCTAAACAGCACAAGCACTTGTTTAACCCTGCTGTAGGAGAAGACTTGCTGTGACACTGAGCCTTCAAACAGCTGACATCTAATTTACCACACAGCTCTGCTATAAATATCACCAAACATCTCCGGACAGCCCCGTACCCGTTTTCTACAAGTTTAATCCCTGCAAAACTATGCTCTACTGTCATCTCTGAGTAATTAGTTTCTCCTGCATTTGTGAAGAGGTGTTGAGAATATGTCACTTTTGACAAAACAGCCTGGAAGACCTACAAAGCCTTTGCAACGTTCCCACACCTACATTCCCATTTCCTGCATTCCCACACCTACAATACCATTCCCATTCCAAAGATGAGAACTGGAAGTTCCAGCAGACACTGGCCCTTTATGCATATTACAGATGTGCACACCTACTCAAAACAGTCAAAATTAACAAACACTAGCAAAATCCCAGGGGATTCAGGAGTGCAGCTCCATGGAAATAAGCACAGCAGGTAGCAAACAAACCCTGAATCCTGTTCTTGTTTTATGCTGGCTCTCTGTGGGGCCCAAGACATGCTACTGAGCTGCAGCTGTCTCATCTGTAAATGAGCAGAACATCACAATATTCAGTACCCTCTAGAAGGATTTGCAAAATAGATGTAATTTGGTAAAGCACATTTCTGCTTTGCCTTTGTTTGCATTAAGCATTTTTCTTAAGGCCAGAGGAAGGATTATTTAGATACCTTTTGACACAAAATAGATGTAATTTGGTAAAGCACATTTCTGCTTTGCCTTTGTTTGCATTAAGCATTTTTTTAAGGCCAGAGGAAGGATTATTTAGACACCTTCTGACAATACAGTGTGGTTCTATTATAATTAATTACTCAGGATGATGCACTTCGTGATGTACGTAGCATTTGGAATGCAAACAAATTCAAAGTACTATCACAGTGCTGCTCTTATTTCTTCAAATTTTCAGCTGAGCACTTCTCTCGCCAAGAGGAGTATCCAATAGCTGGGAAGGATTTTGAATTAACACACAGCATATTAAAAATGGGACCAGTTCAAACCATTCCAGCCAGACTCACAGCTGTGGGTTTAGGAGATGGCACTTTCTGTGTTTTTTTTTTCTCATTCCTAATAAGCACATTTGAGTCTCCTTCTGGTGTGAGGGGTTTCACAGACTGATTTACTGAGCGTTGCTTTAAGGACTCCACCAGGAATGCACACTGAAATGGAAATCCACATTGTTTAGTAATTCAGATACATGGAATTTAAGGAAATGACATTTCAAAGACAGGTATTTTGTATTTGCTACTATAATAATAAATAATATTCCTATCTGACAATGCTTAACACCTCTAACTGAACAAAAACCCCTTTGTGCTGTGCTTGCTCAGACACACTGCATGGAAACCCTTCCAGCTCTGGGCAAACAGACTAAACCAAAAGGCAGCAGTGTTCACAGACCAAGGCTAGAAAAAAGTGGAAGATGGTGAACCAAGTGTATGCAACTGTTTCAGGATAACAAAGTATTTTTAGGCGTCATTGAATAGCCAGCAGCTCTTCTTTTTAAAAAATCCAGCTTTTGTGATTCAGACTTGCATCCAACAGGGTTCTCAGCCCTCTGGACAAGGTTCTTAGTGCAGATCTCTTTCCATGCACACTTTTATAGGAAGCAGGCACCACACTGCCAGGCTGGCTATACTGCTGCAGTTATTCTGTTGGATATCTTTGGAAAAAAGTCATGCACATGGAATATGGTGAGATACAGTCCAGTTCTACACCCTCAGTACACTTGAGAAAACAGCTGGTTTAGAATTGACAAAGCCACTGTGCTAATGACAAGCCCTCCTGCACTGGGACTTAAAAGAATGTAGTGTTATTTATTTGCCTATAACATTTATAACTTTATTATAATGAAGAATTAATTTATTTGAAAAGAATTCATCACAGGATTGGCAACAAAAAGGAGAATCACTTGAACTGTAAACTTGTATTTGGTGTGGAATCATGGCTACTCCAACAGCAGTCACTGCAGTGCTATAGTGCAACTGCTTTCTAGTCCTTATTTACTCTATGGTCACTATTCTCACAATCTAGAATATTCCTGCTCATCGTAAAGGGTTTTGTCCAATCTCCTGAACTGTCACCTGAACAAACACTGTTCATTTTTTTTAGGAAGAAACATGTAATTAAAGAAGTTCTACGTAATTCATACCTTTTGGGAGTAGTTCTTTGCTTTTTCCATTTCAGATATAATACTGGTAATATCATCACTTTCAAAAATACCTGATAATCAAATAGGTGCTAATTAGCATGGGTTTCTTAAAGTGTACAAAATAAGTATTTTTTTAAAATGTACAACAATTTGCATCAAATGCTAAATACCAACGCAGGGAATCAAAAAACCTTTGTTTCCTGCAAGCCTGATCATCTGGACTGATCATATTAATAACTATAGTTTAAAGCATCTTAAAAAATGCTAACAGAATATGGTGAATTCAAATAGAAAAAAAACCCAAACAAATTTATTCATTAAGGCTGCATTATAATACTCTGCAAAGTGTTTGAAAGTCTCTACAAAACTATGACCTGTGTTTGTATCTCAGTGCTCTCAGCATATCTTAAAAAAGTAAACTACTTGATTTGGGAGTAAAAAAGCATTAATGAATATTATTTCATAAATGAAAAAGAAGTATGTGCTGACTTTCCTTTGCTCATACCTGCTTCTCCAAACCAGTGAAACCTCCCTTTGGCTGCCTGTACAATGTCTTTAAAAGCACTGGCAGTTTCCCTGGGGTTGGCATAGCGGGCTGGAATAATCCCACTGGAGTCAGTGCCCTCTGTTACACTGAACAGACAGACATGGAGCTGCAAATCCAAACCCCTGCAAGCCTCAGCCACGTAAGCACTGATTGTGTGCTGTAAGACAGAGAAAGAAACATCAGGGGTGAGCCTCTACCTCAGACAAGCTCCCATCTACTCCACTGGTTCCTGACTGGTGTACAAGTGCTCCAGCTGGAGCAGCTCAGAACAGGGAGGTACCCTGAGTAGTGCAGTGCCTCCTCAGTCCATGCAGACACACAGCCATTGTCACTATTGCTGGTTACAGGGACAACAGCTCCACTGCTGCAAGAGGTGAGCTGGGGTGCATTTGGGAACCAAAGACAGAGATCCTGGACATCAACTTATATGTGCACTGAAGCAAAGTAGGGATGAAACTGTCCATTTCTCCCTCATTTTCTTGTCAACCATATGGGCTTTAATGATTTCTTAGGTCTGCCCAGGATTTCCAGAGGTTTGGTAACAAAAGCAGGAGACACCTCACTGCACACATGTAGAAACTCCAGGCTGTGCATGCAGCTCAATGCCACGGAGCACATTCACCACAAACATGGATCCAAGAAGGGATTACTGGGATAAAACCAGCAGCTGTCTCTACATAGGCTGCTATGGAGTTCCACTGCAAAACTATTTGTTCCATGAGTTGTACAAAAATGGTAAATTACAAAAAATCAGCTTGCTCTAACTCGGAAATCTGAAGCAAAATGATGCCCAGAGCTGGAGTGGGAAAGGAAACCTAAAAGCATGTCTTGAATTTTCTATAATTCACACATAATTAATAACTGCTACCACCAACACATGAATAACAATTGCAGAAATGGAAGTTTGGGATCCTGACAGTTGTGCTGCCTTGGCTATGTAAAGGGGGAATATTCTGCCAATGAATGGTGATTGCTATAAGGGAAACAAGGGATTGGGAAAAAAGAAAAAAATAAAGTTGATATTAATTTTGATAGGAATTTAGAGAAAAGTTGCCTATGATGACACTCACTGTTTCCTGGTCAGGTATTCCAGTAGTCAGCAGGTAGAGTCCCTGTGATTTGTGTTTATCACTATCTTTGAAGTCAACCTCCACAGCTCTTCTGAGAGCACTCATGAAATTTCTACTGCCCTTGCAGTCCAAGCTCAACACCCACCTAAACCAAAATGTTTACAGTTCAAAGAATAAAGAAACAAAAGCTCTTGTTTCTACACAAAGCAATGAAGAGAACTAAGTGTCTTAAATAACACTGCACTGGAGTCTAAAATTTTTGAAAATGACAGAGAGCAAAACCAGATTACATAACAAATTATTTGTTCTGGTTTCTGTATTGCCAGCATGGCAAACTAGTTATTAAAGTAAGATACAAAGCATAAAGAGGAAAGAATTCTCTCATAATTTTACATGGAAAAATATTAATGTAGTAGAACTTACAGAAACAGAAATTAAACCAGAGGTATAATAAGAACACAGAAAATGTGACTGCACAAACAGAAACCTGGGATTTTTTTCAAAGCATGTGGGAAAAACCCGATATCCCAATTGAACTTGAAGCAGTTTTCAATTCTTCATGTAACCACTTCATTCCTTATACAGACACTTCTGTATCTGTGTACATATATATTATATACACATATGAAACATGAAGCCACCCCAAGCTTATTGCAATGCTGTTTTCACAAGAAACCACTATGAACAATCACTGTAGAACATGGCAGCCTATTTTTGTAACATAATAAACTTATATAAGTTTTTAGTTGTTTGCAATTTTTCTCTGTGAAATTCACATACATGGGATAATTACTGGATCCTACCTCCAAGCCTTTTCTAAGTTTTCTGGTTGGGAAGGACACAGTTCCTGCTGCCAAGGCACAATGTCACTCCCAAATCTTTCACAGAAAGATAACAACAATTAATTTTCAGATTATGGTTTAGAACAAGCAAAAAGATAAAATAAATTCACCGACGAAGAAAAATCTCATTTAGGGTATTACAGACATAAAACTGCCTGATGCCAACTGTTTTCTATTTCAAACCATTTAATTATCCACATTTATCCATCACCCAAGGTTAATTTGATTTTCTTTCCTGAACAGGATCCCACATGAGCTGGGAAAAGCTCAGAGGAAGGACTGTGAAAAAGAACTCCAACCCTCAGCTGCTGCCTGTATCTCTCTTGTGAGATAAGGGCTCTGTTCTCACACCCTGTTAGGAACTCCATGAGCTGCTGGCTCTTACTTTTAACTGCAAGGCACCTGTCCAGCAGTTGTGCCACATGTTTCTGCCTGCCAGTGCTGAGTACAGAATTTTACCACTCAAATATATTAAACAGTATTGGAGTTACTGTAAATTTCAAGGGTGCTCTCAGTTATGGTATCTGAGACATCAACATTCCCTTCTGGTGTGTTTCTGACAGGTGAATTAATACTATTATGAACAATACAGCAGGATGAGTATTTGTTACAGGTATGATGCAATCAGTTCCAGTGACCCTCACCCAAAAAAGTTATTTTTTATTACTCATTTGGTCTCCATACATCTGATTCATGCACTCACCCAGTAAGGATCAACCTTACTGTGCTAGTCTTGCAAATGCTACACTAAAAAACACTAAATACTAAAATATGCCCACTAGTAACTACAATTTCTCAGCATACTTCTTTCATTGCAATGCACTGCAGTAATTTTTAAAGACTCTTAAACAGCTACTTACGCTATAATATTGAAGCAATCTTTATTTGACATTTGTTCCTCAAGTAAAAGTCGCAAACAATGTTGGATATGAGAGATGTAGGGAGAGTTTGTCACTGATATATCAACAAGTACAACCACCCTGTAGAAAAAAATGCTATTCATTTAAGAAAAGAAAAAAATCTTATTTAATGATGTATTCTTCTCTTTAGTGCACTCTGATTTGTCAGGGAAAGTATCTTCTACCTATGTATCAAAATGTATAAGCACCGAATCTACATTTTAAAAAAAATCTGCAAAACATTAGGTGACATTTAAAAAATAAAAATAGGAACTGTAATGGAAACTTCTGTCTTTCCTAAACTATGGAATAATCAGGGTACTGGCTGCTTGTAGGAGTAATTAATGGAGCCATTAATGGCTCCTGAACCCCACACAGCTCTTCCCCTTCTCTGTACTTGAGTATCTAAAACCCTCCTGGAATGTGTGGATGTTTGCCACATGGAGAGTTACTGGATACTTCACTCTCCTTTCCCAGCCAACACTCCAGGAACATATGGAATATTACTCCAAAGACAAATGGTTCAGATTTCTCTCAGCTCATCAGTGCCAGAGTGGTTGCTCAGGTATGGACTGAGTGATGCTATTGAGCACATTACCTGTTTAGAGGAAAGTGCTAATGATGAGCTGCTCAGCATGGTCATTTTTAAGTTCTGCTTGCAGAGACAATGCAGGATGGTCACAGTTCATGGACAGGATAATTTGGGAGCAGTGGTTTTGAAAAGACCCACAGATGTGATGGACAGTCAGTGGGATGTGAGTTCCCAGAACAACAGAGTGGCCAGATGGGCTAATTCAACCCTTAATCAATGAGCAAGAAAATCTCTAGTAACAGGAGCCTCAGCTACCTTCCTTTTGTCTGAAACTCCACATTCAAGACTTGTAAACAGGAAAAAGAGCAAATGTGCAATTGAGGTTGGGTAAGGCCTTAGACAAGATGTAAATAAACACCTTTCTCAAACACAATAAGACTTCAAACCTCACAAAAAAACCCCCCAAAATCAAATACAGTACCTTCTTTCACAAACACTTCCCCATATTCTTCTGCTAGCAACAGACAGCCAGTCAATTCGTTTCTCATAAATTCCTACCATTTTAGCAAGGAGTTTCTATGCATAAATAAAGAAAATTTATGTTACAAATAGAAAGTTCAAGTCTTTTATTGCCAAATGCTTAATACAGAAATAACATAACAGCATAGTAATGAAAAAAAATTATTTTCATTCATTTAGATAGCAACATTTCATTCCTAGTACAGGTAAGAGAACACAGTCCATGAAAAAAAACATACAGTGCTAAAAAATCAAAGAATTTAAAGGTCTGTATCTCCACTTTTCCTCTTGCCACCATATTACAAAACAGTGTTCAGGCATATCAGGAAAAGAAAAACCAGAGTTTTAAAAATACACTTTTTGCAAGCTTACCCTTTCTTTAATAGCATTTTTAGGCAGTGTTCATAACTGCAGTGTTCAAAACACATCATTTAACATGAACACAATATTCTCAAACACATGTACTCCCTTAAAACTATCAATTTGATATTAAGGTAATTTGTCCAAACTTTATACACCATGACCTTTCCAAGGCTATGTAGGCATTATATGAGGGCATACCAAGCTAGAAAAGAGCACTGAACTCACAAACATAAGCATAATTTAGCCTGCACAAAACACAAGGACCTCCCAGTGAGCAAGAAGCCACAGAAGCTGCTTTTCATTTCAGGCACTTCACACTCTCCTTTTGGTCTGGCTGTAGAGTTCCACAGACTTCACATCACTCTCACTTTAATGGATTATTTGCCCTGCCTGGAAATATTCCCACAGCCCTTTGTCAGGACTGCCAGTGAAGTGGGAAAGAAAAAGCACTGACAGACCACTACACAGCAAACCCTGGCTGCTAACATCCCCAGACAGCTTCTTTGTCATTAAACTTGCCCCACTCTCTGATGATCTCCATTCTGATCTAGGAGTAAATCCTCAGCAATCACTAGTGCCTGTAAGAATCCCAGTGGCTGCAGACTTACATGGACAGCTGTCTGCACATCCCTGTACATCCCTGCAGTACTTAGCTAACGAGACAATTCCTGAGGAATATTAGATGGTAGTCCAGCCCTGACAAGGCCACATCATGCTAGACAACTCACCTGATAGCTGTACAATACTGGCACGTCAACATGGATATTTTTTACAGTTCCATCATACCACTCAAACTGCATCATCACTTTCTAGAAGGATAAGTAGAGTTAGCTGTTTACAGAACCCAACATAAGACAGACTAACATGGAATTTCTTCATGGGTCATGCTTAAGAATGACATTAAGTATTTGAGTTGAATCTATGACTCAAATGTCAGTCAGTAGAATTTCAGCTAACTTATAAAGTACTGATTTAAGTTAGAAAGATGTAGCAATAGAAAGAAAAAAAAAACCACAAACCCAGGGGAAAAAGTTCCTCCTCACTTGCCTCATGCAGAGTTGATGATACTGTTTTTCTAAGAATAGGTACAAAATCTTCCACAGGAGAGAAAGCATTGGGAGCCAGAACTTGATAAAGGTCTAACCTTTTAGCTAGAGGAAGAAAAAAAATACATTAAATCAAACACATACACTGTCTTTAATTAATGTTTTGTACCTGTTAAGCTTTTCTTTCTGTGCTACCTTTCAATCCATACGTCTTTAACCAGTCTGCTGAGGTTTTGGACAGGATGCCTGGTGTTTGAATAACTAATGGTGCTTGGTGCTTTGGAGGCTTTGGGAAGAAGCTAGAAGGTGCTGTATTTGCAAATGCTGTGGAAACCTAAAACAGATTTAAAGAAAAGCTCTTGCAAGTTTTAACATAATTTATTTTTACCCTCAATTCAAAATATCCAGAATGGAATCCTGGTGAACATAATTAAAACTGAAGTGCTGGGATTCCAACAAGCAAAACACTTTGAAAGTAGCTATCAGTGGTCCTCCTAAAAATGGGCTTTTATTGGGGATACAGAATCTTCTAAGTCATCTCAGACTGACTTCTGCTCCATAGGTAGTCTACACAGTCCTTAGTAGCTATGAGGTTGGAAGAGAGGAAAAAAAAAAAATGTACAGCATAGGAAGGATGAGGGGAAATATAATTAAAATTTTATCCACAAGAAAATTCCTCCCAGACTTGTATAACAGTGCTACCAAGACAAGCCCTTTTAAGTTTGTAATGGATTTAAATGTCCAACTAAATCACACAGGAGTGTCTTTTCACCAATTTAAAGGAGTGTTGGAACCTCATTTATATGATTGTGCACAGAGTTAGGCTAGTGTTCCTGAGATTCCCATTACAATGACAGGACTCTGCTCTTTTCATGCATTCTGGAGAATATTTAGCAAAATGTCTCCTTTACTGATTTTGTTCCTAATTTGCTCTTAACAATGGGTGTTCAATAGAGAATATTCAAAGTTCACATATCAAAATACCTGACCAATCATACAATGTTTTTCATATTGTGGACAGTTAAAATTTCTAACCCTAGTTATTTAAAGTACATCTGAAAATAAAAATATACATACATCTGCTCTTTTACTACCAAGCAACCCACCAACTCTTCTTTGAAAACTCTGTTTGATGCTCTTGAGTAGGTCCTTAGCCTTCTGGGACTCCTGAAGCAGCAGATGAAAATCACTGCTATCAAAATTCTGCAATTATAAAAACAAATGGGGAAAAATAAGTCAACTATTGTTCAAACACCAACTGGAAGCAGCTTTCTTACTTTACTGTGCAAACATCAGTACAAGACTGCCTGGCATGGCAGAATCGAGGGTGAATGTATCTAATGCTCTGCATATAAATTAGTAATAATTTATCAACCAGATATTACTTTATTACTTTGAATCACTCTACAGTAAACCACTGCTTTTATCAGCCATAAGTCAACAAACAATAACTGCAAAATTTATTGACTTTTAGGAAATGTTTTCAGCTGCAGAAAGAATTAACCACAGGTTTATTGAGCACATCCTCAGCATTTCTGTGACAGAGACTTTCAGCACCAATTCTTACTATCAGCTTCTACTCAGGTGATAATCATTTCACCTTCTCAAAGTGAAGAATGATCAGAAAGAGAGAAAAATGCTTTGCCTCTCTCCCTGTCACCTACCTCTTCCTTGGAAGAGTAGCAATGATAACGGCCTCTTACAGCTTCTGCAAGGTTCTTTAGAACTGCCTACGTATAAAAATGGGAAGAGAAACAGTTACTCTGACTTGATAGTCTCTTTTGATAAGGTGGCTTGCTGGTATTCAGTTCTCAGTAGAGAACTTTGAGATACATGTAGTGAGAAAGCCAAAATAATTATGTTTCTACCATTTGCTTACCAGTCTTATTTTAATAAGGCTGAAAAACTGAGTAAAGCAAGTTACAAGATGCTGCTCCAAACAATTTTTTCATGTGTGCAAATATGTTCTTAAGAGAATAGGACATTAATTCAAGAACCCTAACCATTAGGTTAGCTTTCCCACAAGTTTATGAGAGAAGGCATTACAACTGAATAGGAAAAAAATGCACTTCAGGAAGTATTAACACAATTACTTACAAGGGAAGCAGGGTTGCTGCAATCATATGTAACAATGTGAATCTGCACTTTTCTGCCCAGTGTACACTGCTGAGCATAATCACATAGTATTTCAAAAGACTGATCAGGGCTAGTTAAAAAAGTAAAGAAAAATATATTAACAATGGCAGTAATCAAATGGGAAAAAAAAAAGGCTATACTGAAGAAGATATGGAAAAAAACCTGGGAAAGAAATAATAAATCATGGGAATTATTTAGGTATTCAGCATTATCATGCTTTTGGAGGGACCTTCTCTCCCTCTTTCAACCATTCCTGAGATGTCACTACTGGAGCTTGGTTCTGTCCTGAAAATCTGGATGACAACAAACCCACCAGGATTCTATTCCCATTCATAACAGCTTGTGAATGAAGTGTTCTGAATATTCCCTGCTACCCTGAAAGCCAAAGATCAGGAGTTGTGCCTTTGGTCACTGTGACAGAAAACCTTTCAGCTCTGGTATGTATAAGGATGTCCTGTTTCCAAAGGCACCAAAGAAAGTAAAACTTGGCTTTTTGTTTAGAAGTTAGTGTCCCACACAGCTATGATTTCCTGAGCTCTGATGGCTTGTAAAAACCTTTCCTTGCAGCTACACTTCTGCCAGGGATGGGAATTAAGGAATTTTTCACATAGTATGAACTTCTGATTTCTGTTCAGAGCAGATCTAAGCAAAACTTGGAACCTTGTAATCAACGCTGTGTGTTCAATAAGTTACCTGAAATTTAAGTTCAATTACTCTAAGTATCAATCTTGCCAAGCTTACACCATCCCTTTTTGCACATTTAAAATAAAATTAGTAAACTAGGAGTAAGGTAACACTCCAAGAATCCTTAATGTAGTCTTTTCCTTGTAAAAAAAACTTTTCCTAGTAAAAAAAAAAAAAAAGGGGAAGAAATAAAAGAATTCAAAGGTATAAACTAAAAATACATAATACATGGATCTTGAATTTTCTATTTATTTTTGTATCAAGTTCAGTTTCCCGTACCATTCCTGCATCCAGGCTAAATCTGGTTGTTAAGACAGATAATGAACTTACCAGCTTCCTACAATAAGAACCAAGGAATTCAGTTCTCTCATTGGAAGGACATGCCTTAAGGCTTTCAGCAAATTGCAGCCTCGACCAGGCTCCAGCTCTTGTACCCACTGTCTTGCTTCATGTAGCCTAGGAGAGGGAAACAAGAAAAAGAAGGAATATTTATTTAGGTGCTAAATAAGATAGATCACAAAGATTACTAGAAACCACAGCAGCAGCTAAGATATTTTACATGTGAAAACCATCTTGAAACCACTGACCACATGTCAAATTCATTGCTTTTCTCCCCTCTTAAAACCACTGCAGGCAAAAGATGAAAAACACTATTACCTGCAAGAGATTGCCCAAATTAAATGGAGACCTTGTCTGAAACACCTTGATTTTTCAGAGAAATGAACTTACTTACACATGAACATTGATGGCTTTTGGACTCTCCCACAGTGGTGAAATTTCTGTACTGAATGAGAGGCAGTACAATTCCTTCTTATAACAAAGCTGCTCATCTATTAAGCACTAATAAATAAAAAATTATGAATGCATTACTATCCATGCTGCTTCTGGCAGGGTTATTATGTAAAAGACTAAAAATAGTAATTTCCTAAAAATAGTTACAGCAACATTTTCAGCTACCACTAAAAAAGCTTCCAAGAAAAACTCACAGATTCAAATATTTTTGAAGGATAGAGACAAAACCTGCAAACTTATGGCATTCCAAAAAATTTGTTAACGGGGCAGGAGGCAGGGATATTTGTTTTACTGGTACCAGGTTTTCTCTTCAGCTGATGACCACTTGAAACAGCAGTGATCTAGAATGCACATATTCACCCACCATGCAATTTCTAAAAAATGTTTACCTCATAATCATGGATAGGGCTAAACAATAGTTCAGATATTCAAGCTAAGTAAACCAGACTGGGGAAACTGAGTTTTCTTGAAGGGCTTTTATTTGAAACACACAAATAATATAAATTGATGGTAAATAATTCCTTGGGAAACTGAATTGTACCAAGTGTCAAATATACAGTAAACCAGCTACATTATATCTTCCTTCCTTACTGCAAAAGTTTTCTAAAAACAAAGAGAACAATAAAGGACAAGTTTTTCTGAGAAGACAGAAAATGATTAATTTACCAAGGCTGTGATGAAAATTGTGAAGTGGGTGTTATTGTGACAAACATTAACTTAAAGGAAACTATATTTACTATAAATATCTCAATGTACAATTTGGCTCTACCTCTTACAGCTGGTTTTGTTAAGCAAGTTTATTCCACAGTGAATGCTGATAGAATTGAGAAACTTTAACAATAACACTTCCCTTAATAGTATTTTGAAGTATACTGGATTTGATTTGGATCTGTTTTGGATATTAACAAATACTACACTTTCAAAGACATCTGAAGCATACTTTTCTACAAAAGAAAATTTCTATTACATTGTATATTAGGATTTTAAGCAGATTTTTTTCTATTTGACTCCTGACTCCTAGTTCCACAAAAGCTTGATTAATATGTTAAAATAGGCAAAATTTGCTTTACTGTTACTTACCAAAAGGTTCTTTTGAAAATCCAATAGTCTAGGTCCATAACTCAAATGAGACACATCAACCAAAAGTCCGACTTTAGTTCCTTTTAGAACACCGAACACCTTGGAAAAGCCACTGTAAATATCAGCTTATCTACAGTTTAATAATTTTACTGTTTATTCTGTACAATACCATTTTAAAATCAAGTATTAGGTATTTATTTTAAATTTTAGCATAAAGATGACACAGTGCCAAAATCAAGGAGGAAAAGAAGAAGAAAAAAAGAGAGTCCTACTGGCTCTCAGTTAATCCTTACCAGCCAATCATATTATCTTCTTCCACATACAACTTATTCATTACTTGAGAGGATAAATAAAAAATAACTTTTTTCCCTTCAGGCAAAATCAAGCAACGTTGTGGAAACCAGATTTTGGAATGCTGCATCTTTCCCTATTCCCCTCAAGAGGGAGTTACATCTGAGCACTAGCACTGCCAGGCACAGTGTGATGAAGCAGCGGTGCAAGAGTGGCAAAATGAACTTCATGACAGCTGCACTCCAGGCAGAGGTTAAGCTCAGCATTGTCTGCTCCCATTTAAATTGTGTGGAGAGGACCTGATGACTAAGACTGCAAAGAGAAAGGAAAAGACTATATCTAGAAAGCAGAATTGCATATTAATGAAAGGTCAGGAAAAATAATCCACTGTCAACATCACTGCATTTTATGTGAAACCTGTAGTAAATAATGAAAATACAAAGGCTTTCTGGAAGCCACTTTTCACTAGTATTCAAAAGTTTAAATTAATCTTTAATGCCATATAGAGTTTCATTCTAAAAATATACTGCAAAGTTCCAGTTACCTTTCTGCTGTCCTGCAACAGCCACTGAATTCGGTGCTGATAGAGCTCAATCACTCTGACAAAAGGCAGAGCACACATTTAGCTGCAGCGTTCCCTCACACTGGGTTTCAATGTAACAATAACCACCCGTCTCCATCACATCCCGCTCCCACAGATGCACATCTGTGAGGAACAGGTGTTTTAAAATATGTTAAATATGCCCTTACACAACTGGTGGTTGCAGGGCTCACCACTTAAATACTTCTTTCCCTAAAGGAGAACAACTTCCAACAGTTTAATATTAAAATAGTTATAACCTGAGGTAAAACAAAATGCTTCCTGTCCTCTAAAATTTTTTACTTTAACCAATGGATTTTTAATTCCTTGCACAGTATCTACAAGTTGGCAAACAGAAAGTTTAAGCCAACATTTTAAAGGGGAAAATCCATTTTGCTTTTTCAAAACAGAAAAACTGTCTCTGTTTTGCCTGACTCAGTGAGGTATGCTGAAATGGTAGCACTCTTATCAATTGTGAAGATTATTCTACAGCTTACTGAACCTATAAATCAAATGTAAATAATTTAAGTTTCTTGATTTTATACATTTAAAATTCACTTAGAATACTTTCAATTTCCATGTCATGACTGCATCCATGACTTGAAGCTAATCCAAGTTTCACTAAGTATAACCCCCAACTACACTGTGGAAACCTGACCATGCACTGGGTGCCTTTCTAAAATGAGCAAACTGCTTCACATCAACACCTGGTTGATAAGCATCTTCCTTAAAACACCCCAAACCTCTGCTGTAGTGACATACAAGTATCCCTTACTCTCAATCTCAGCAGAAAGGATTTAATGTTGAGATATTCTGAGGTGCCCAGAGATAACAAATTAAGATTTAAGGTAGTGTCTACAGTAATGGAGATACAAAATCAGTTACACATCAAAACAGCAAAGATGGATACTTACTCAGAAAGTCTGGATTCAAAATCAGTAACAGTCTCCTCTGTAAACTCCACCACTTCACCACCATTTCCTGAGTTCCTGGAGCACTATGCATGGTTAACACCAGAGATGCACACAAGTTAAGACTGACTAGAGAAAAGGCAGTGTTGTACTTACAAAATAGTATTGCCTTCATTTACCAGATACTCTAATGTTAATTGCAAGGATTCCAAACTGTAGTTTCTTATCCATTCTTCTGTTGTTTGCACCTTTTGAGACTGTGTTTTCTTCATTTGTCCTGTCTACAGATCAAGTTAGAAAAAATTACGTGTGGTATGAGAAATTAAATGTGCTGTTTAAATGTGACAAAAACCTAAGTCCTAAGGAGAGTTGCTGCTAGGCAATGCTTCTCCAAGAACATAATTTTATGGACTGGAATACTCTTTTGAATGTGGGGTACAAAGGAAAAGAAACTTTCAAAATATCCCCAGACTGTGAGCTAAAGGAAGGGAAAAAGAGCAGACAGGAATGAAGACAATAAATAGGAGAGCTCAATAAAAGAATTAAAATAAATATCCCAGTGATTTAGCAGAGAGGAACAAAAATAAGCATCTCCCAAACACGACTCAGAGTTTGAACTTGGCTTCTGCCTTTTGGAGGAAAAATGTAGCATCGACAGCTGATCTCATTTATTGTTTTGCCCAATTTGTTCTCAGATTCATCTCTGCAGAGAAACTACATGCAGTTTCATGACATGAGTGATCACACCATCAAACTGTCTGGGTATATATGCAAATGTATGTAAGGAAGCATATTAGTTGTCTATCAGTTTATTTATTCCTCACTGTGAATCTACAGTGGGTACAGCATCACTGTACCAGCTGCTCCATTTTGTAGGAAAACTCGCCTACCAGCACATCCTGTGTCTTGCTGCTATGTGTTCCCAGCAATCCATTATCCGATCCTAGATGAGGGAGAGCAAAATCCTGCCATGGTGGACGATTACCCTGTAGATGGAATTCTGTCAACCTACGAGACAATAATTTTATGAGAACAATTCATTACCCATAAAATTCCTGTACTGTCATAAAGACATTTCAAGTTTTTTCTGTAGGAACTGTTCTATGCTTTGACAGTTGTTTAAGCATTAAGTTAATATACGATGTTTTGAAGGGATATAGCATATACTTCACATTAATTATAATTTATTTTCTATCTACATATGAAGTCTCAACTAGATTTTGTAATGGTTTCCTCACCCAGTTTTTTCCAAATATTGATCATTGTCCAACAACCATGCCGTTTTCCTGATGTGTGTATCCATTATATGAATAAACTTAGCCTTGTTAAAAATAAAAAAAAAGCATTAGAGCCTTAGGAACAAACACTATTAGGTATTAATACTGTCAGCAAATTAAAGGATAATTTATATTGTATGTGGGACAACAGCAAACTGAAAAATAAAGAGAAGTTACAATTATCCATTTATAGAAAACACATTTAGGAACTATTCTGCAGAGCTGCTTGTTAATGGATTTTATGCAGTTAATTATATGCGTGCACAGCTGCTGGGAGATCGGCTACAGAGCTCCACCAGGAAAAGAGATTAACCACAGCAAACCCCGGAGCGGCGCGGGAGCTGAGCCAGCCGGGCTGGCAGCGGCTGGGCGAGCTGCCCTCGGGTTTAGGCGCAGTACAAGTCATGCAAAAACCATTAAATCCCGGTTTTCCTTAGCTGGGCTCCACCGCCTCCCCCCGGCCCAGGACACCCGGGCCCTTCGGCTCACAGCGGGCGTCAGCGCAGCCCTTGCCGGCCCCGAGACCCCGCTCACCTCACGGGGGAAGGGCCCTGGGTCCCCGACCCCGCGCTGTCCTGTGCCCGAAACTCGCCTCACCCCAGCGGGGAGACACCCCTGGGCTCCTCCGCCCCCGCTCCGCCCGTCCCGTCCGCTGACACTCATCTGACGGGAAAGGCTCTCCCGTGCCCCGCTCTCCCTCCCCGGCACCGCGCCAGTGACAGCGACTCCCCGAACCCCTCAGCACCTCCCGGCATCGCCCCGACCCTTCCCTCGTGCGGGACCGGGAGCGGAGGGGCCCAGCCCGGTCCCTGCCCGCTGTTGCGGCGTTGCCGGTGGAGACGGGGCCGGCCCCGGTGCGCCGCTTCCCGCCGCCTGAGGGCGCCGGTGGGCGGGAGGCGAGGGGCCCCGCCGGGTGTGAGGGGGGACACCTGAGAGGACACACTTGAGGGGACACACACGAGAGGATACACCTGAGGGGGGACACACCTGAGAGGGGAGCGCCGGTGGGCGGGAGGCGAGGGGCCCCGCCGGGCGTGAGGGGGGACACCTGAGAGGATACACTTGAGGGGACACACCTGAGGGGAGACAAACCTGAGGGGGGACACACCTGAGGGGAGACACTTGAGGGGACACGCACCTGAGAGGACACACCTGAGGGGAGACACACCTGAGGGGAGACACACCTGAGGGGACACGCACCTGAGGGGGGACACACCTGAGGGGAGACACTTGTGTGCGGGGCGGGGTCGGTTCCTACACCTGAGGGGGGACACACCTGAGAGGGGAGACCTGAGGGGGGACACACCTGAGGGGAGACACTTGAGGGGACACGCACCTGAGAGGACACACCTGAGGGGAGACACACCTGAGGGGAGACACACCTGAGGGGACACGCACCTGAGGGGGGACACACCTGAGGGGAGACACACCTGAGGGGGGACACCTGTGTGCGGGGCGGGGTCGGTTCTAGTCAATGCAGCCGGAGGCAGTCGCTTTAGTAGACAATTTATTTTGATAAACTTGCTCAATAACAAAAATACAAGTGAAGAAAATTATGTTCATTTTATACAGTTTGTATTAACATTTGTTCGGAAATCATTAATTGAAAAAATGCTCTAACCAATAGAAAACAACCCTCAGTAAAGGCCGGGGGGCGCAGGCGGCGGGCGCGGCCTCCAGCCCGGGCAGAAACCATTTCCTTCATTATGTTCATCCTTCACAAAGGTTTTAAAGGACAGCTTCCATTTTCCCGTGTGTGTGTTTCGGGGCGAACAGGAACCTACAGTTGAGTTCTGGAGTGGTTACACAATTCATCCTTCACAAAGGTTTTAAAGGACAGCTTCCATTTTCCCGTGTGTGTGTTTCGGGGCGAGCAGGAACCAGTTGAGTTCTGGAGTGGTTACACAGGGGCTCGGGAAGGCAGGGGCGGCAGGAGGGCCCGGCTCTGGCGGCACCGCCTCAGGCGGAGGCCGGGCTCGGAGTGTGGCACTGCCCGCGGCCTCGGGACACCGGCACCGCTCCGAGCTGCACCGACAGCGCACGAACCGCCTGAAACGGTCCGGCTGGTGTGGCCTGGGAAGAACACAGGGCCTCCCCAGGTCTGAGCCAAACAGCTTCCAGGCGATTGTTTCAGCTGAGCTCAATGACGAGATTTATACAGACAAATTTACTTGCTTTAGTTTTTCCTTCTGGAAGTGTTTTCAGTTTCCAATCTTACATTTTGTTAGCCAAATAAACGACAAAGTGTGCACAAATTACATTATGATGGGGTATCAAACCTTTGGGAGGATTTAGAAGCAAAAGAATAAATGGAATTCTCTAGTGATGTATAAAATGAGCTGTCCTTCAAAAAGTAAAAATAATGGCTGGCAGAATCAGAAAAGTTTATGTAAACACTCAACACAAATATGGGATTACCTTTGGAGAAGATTCATATGGAAACATTTGCTTTTCATGAACTGAAAAAGTCTGCAGATGTTTAGGCATGTTCAATACGAACTTCCTGTAGTTCAAAACAAAACCTTGTGCAAATAAAACCTATAAATAGTCTTCAGCAGATTTTACAGTGATGCTCTTAGGTATGAAAAGAATGCACACAACTTTAAAACAAAAGTAACAGACATAAGTTTGACAAATGATTGCACCATAAAACAGTGTTTTATATACAGTTTACAAGATATGATTTTCTGCTATAAATTAATACTGTACTATATAGTACTTAGTGACCTTATTAAAAGCAACTGTTGACAGCTGTCTCTTCAATTACTGGTTTGGGTTTTTTTTAAATGCATTTGGCTGCATCTATTTCTGGACCTGAAATGCTCAAATATTTAATAAATCTATTTGCTAAACCGTTGCTAACATTTAATAATTCATAGCAACAGCACTGGCAGATCAGATCAATTTCCAGTCAGCCAGCCACAGTCTGGGTATGCTCCAAGATAAGTGGTTTTTTTTTTTTTTTTTTTTTTAATTATTATTATGATCCATTTAATCAAAGCCTAAATCCACATGATGTTACAATAACTGAAATAAGTAAGTTGGAGGGGCGGGAAGGGAAAGAAATTTTAGCAGCTTAGAAACTCTCCCCACCCCCCAGCTGTGTTCCAGTCACAAAAATCTTGAACTATTTACAAGTGTAACATTTCTGAAAGGATAATTTATAATCCAAGTTTTAGTGAATACTTTATCTTAGGACACAGTAGTGATAACACCAGAATTTTGAAACATATCAAGCAGCTGAACCCTGCCTTCTACCTCCACCACTATCACTAGGAGCCTCAGACTGCCCATGCAGATGAAGGCCTAAATTAGGAACCAAATTATAATTATTAAACCATGACTTCCAAGTAAGTGCTTGGCTGTATTTACAGATTAGCACACTTTGGAAAAATTTAGTGATCCATAAACACTCCATTCTGCTTGTGAATGAGCTGACTGGAAAAAAAAAATACTTAGAAACCATTCCAGTGGCAAGTTTGGTCAAAAATTTTAAAAGAAAATAGACATTAACAAATTACATTTTTGTACTAAAATACCTTGGGTGGGGGAGAGGGAAGAAATGGAGAAAGGCAGGAACCCACAATGGTCTGAATGGCACAGAGTTTAAAATAATTGTGCAAACTGTGTTATTTTTAAAGACTCCAGCTTATCTGGTAAGCGATTACTTTGGAAACTGCTGATTTTATTTTAACATAAATCTCATCCTAAAATGACTGTCTATAGATTAATGCAGTTCCTCTAGTAAGTTCAGTGAAACAGTGCTCAAAACAGATAATTTTTTTTTGTTTTCAGAATGAATCTCAGGCAAACTATGATTAACAGGAAAACAAATACTGATAGTGCAGGCAGCTTCCCTGGAACACCAACCTAGTAGTGAATTAAGATGTCTGTGGATTCAATGGTTTATCTTTGTGGTGAAAAATAAAACTACATTTAGTGCGGAATATTTACTCCAAATTTTGGTGGCCATTAAATCTACATTTAAAATAATAACTTTAGTAAACAAGGCATACATTTTAAACTATTATATTGCTCATTTTTTTGGCAAAGATGAATTAATACTCAGCTGAAATAAGTTCATCCATCTTTGCAGTGGGATAGTGTTTGCATTACTTTAAACATTGCATTTTATATGTGCTAAAAGGAATGCTTACCTATGGTAAAATGCTGTGCTTGAACATGTATGAATGCTAATGTAACAATGAAGTAGAAAAAAGAGATTTTTCTGTACAACAGTTGCTAATAATTTAAATAGTGTCAGTTTCCCAAAATTAGGATTTTAAGGTATGACATGATCTCACCTTCTACCCTCATATACAAATAAATTACCATAAAAAGAATTTTAGCTTAACTTAAAATTGCACCTAGAAAGGCATGGGATCGTTTGTACCTATTACAAAAAACTGTTAAAATCAAGGGCTGCTACAAAGAATGAGGTAAACTGAAGACTCTCAGCTATGTGGCCTTCAGAAAAATGGCTTTTTTCTATTGAGTTCTAGTTTTGCACACCACAGTGTTTTGCTAGCAAAGCATTCTGAGTTCTTTTCCAGGAATCATCTGTGTGTATATACATATATATATACATATGTGTATATACACACACACACACATACACACACACTGTATACTGCATCAGCAAAATATATATATATTTATATATATATTTATATAAATATAAGGACGAAATCCCCCTCTAAAATGTTCCTTAGTGTTTCCTAGAGGTTATGGGGGAGCAGGGGGATGTATGTCTTTTTGCTGTTACATACATTGAGAGAACATGTTTTGATCTATTGGCTTCTTGGTGCAGTAATGCAAGATTGATCCACATTGGTGCCAAAGGCTTTGCTCATCAGAAGGAAGATGTAAAACTAATCTCCTAAACAGCGAGGCCAGCCTCACTTGAGTTCCTCCACAACCCTCTGGTCCACCACAAAGTTCATAAATACTTTGACTTCCAAATTGTTAGACATTAAAAACAGAACAGTCCAGTAATGTGGGGCGTTATGCTTGTCAGTGTAAAGCATTCTTCACTAGTTCCTATCACAGTGCAGACCTGACTGCATTGAAGTATGCTCAGGAGATTAGTCAACGTGGTCTGTATTTGGTTATGGGAAAGGCTCTCCTTTTTTTCATCCAAAGTGCATAGTGAGAACAAGTCAAAGCATTCCTCTTTTCAGTCAGTGTTTGATAGTCTGATTTAGGCATCCTCCTGAGAATGCAATTCTGATGTCTTGCTCTTTTCCAAAATAAAGTCCTGCAGTCCAGACATTCATCAGCCAGGTAAACAAACTTTGCCAGCAAATAGAAGTCCCACTATTGTAAAGAAAATGGATAAGACAAATAGTACATACGAAGACCCAACCACTGTGTTATTGGGTAATTTATAGGGTTGACCTCCAACTTCATTGATGTAAAATCCTATTGGAAATATTAGGGCTGCCATACAGAATAGAATCACTGCAAAAAAAAAAAAGAAAAAAACAGTCACTACTGTGTTAAAGTGAAAGTATTTACCTGTTCACAGAGCGCTCCAGAAAAACAAGCAAAATATCCTGACTGAACTGAAGAGCTGAGATCAGAGCTATCTGAGCTGGTAACTTGCTTGAAATGACTGAGTAGGCTTTGTAATGCTTTCAAAACATTCCTCATCTACTCCCAAGAAAGACTAAAAGTCCCCAGTTTTGACTGTAATTTCAATTCTGCTCACTAGATCATGAACCCTCTTTACAGAATAAAAAATGGGTAGATATACTTCTATCACCATCTCAAAGTTCAGTCATTTCTTCTCCAGTTATTTTAGAGTCATTTTGCCCAGTCAAGATAAAGTAACATTCAACACCGAAGAAACTTTTTCTATTATCAGTTGTCTTTTTCCAACTGTAGGTGCCCTCTCCCATTTTTCACACATTCATTTTCTGTAAAAGCTTTACTAAAAATAGAAAACATTCAGATTGTCATTACAGTTTCTTTTAAGATTAAAAGATACCAGTTTCCTAACATTATATGAATGCTTTCTTAGATAATGAAATATCCTTAGAATTTCTCATTGTAATACAATGAAATGAAAGTTTTCTGAGTCAGTTTAATTAAAGCTTCTAAGTGAAAAACTAAATTCACTCTGAGAACAAAGAGACCAAGCAATGAGGGTTTTTATTTCACTTCAAATTCACGTGTATGTTTTGTTCTTGCAACTGACTCTGTGTGAAAGTACAAGAAACTCAGAACTCCTGTTAAAGAATTGCATTACAGATTTCACAGGCCTTCAAGTATCAGTAGTAACCAAGATTCCTCACAGCACATTTCAATGCCCTGATCAAATCCAGGAGAGAACATTCAGTGTTGTTTCCCAGATGACAACTTCAGTGTTTCTGTAGCACACCTTTGGAAAAGGAACCCTGTTTAGTTTGGACGTAGCTGTGCAGGACTCTACTGTCAATCAAGGCAATGATGTCTAAACACAGCTCCTCTGAGAGGCAAGATATTCTTCACAACAAAAAGGATTAGCTTTTGAATTGGTCTGATTGTATATGCAAGAATATACCATTGGGTTTTTTTAATCAGTATTAGAATAAAACAGAATTTTTTAAAACTGACTACCTGTTCAGTCAAGTATTAGTGCTTTACTCTTATTTAACTTCTTTGTATTTCAGCCTTGTTTCAGACATTGTTTACTGTGAGTGGAACACGGCACCCCAACACCCATTAATCAACCAAATCCAATTAGATCTGGGCGGAGAGAGGAGCTGAACCTGCTCTGTTCTCTCACCAACCCCACAAATCCACATACCAACATCTTCTGACATGAAGCACAGCTCACACTGAAGCCTCTCCTAGTCCTCAAACTCTGCCTATAATCTGGCCACACACAAAAAAGAAAGTTCAAGCCAAGTTACAATGCTCCTGCCTGAACAAAGTGCGTCATGTGCTGACTTTTTCAGTTTTCTCTAGTTAACACAGGCTGCTGCTTTTAGTTTGTTAGTAAGGGACACAGGTGCTGTCATTGTCTCCTCTTCCCCTTCTCCACCACTGCAAGAGAGAGGAAACCCTGGGGATGCTGTTCCCTACTTGAGCCTTCTTAAAAGTCAAAGAAGCAACATCAAAACCCACTGGCAACAGTAATAACCATCACCTTAATCACCAGCTCCCCTGCAAGAAGTGCTGCAGCTGCTTTTGTTTCCAAAGGTATGTAAAATAAAATCAGGAGCTTGCCTGTCCCCTTCGGCCTCACCAGAACAAAGTTTCTAGCCTTTACAAATGAGGAAATGATTGGCTGGAGCAGCATCAATACTTTTTAATGTAGCTTCACTGCTGCTCTTCCTCACTAAATACAGATGCTCCAGTTTATCCAGCCCACACTGAACCCATTTTTTAATGGACTCTGTGTATATCTAAGCTGAACAGTTTACCATATATTTTATATCTTAGTGCTTATGATTTCCATAGCACAGGTCTCAGCTTTGAGGAAAAAACACTAATATTCTAGAAGATCCTGGGCATGATGAATCTGCATTCAGAGAGTGTCCAAGGAGGACCTGGCATAAACAAAGAAGGATTCTTAGAAGATCCTGGGCATGATGAATCTGCATTCAGAGAGTGTCCAAGGAGGACCTGGGCATAAACAAAGATGTATATCATAAACCATGATATACATCAGAACATCAGCTGCTCCTTGCCTTCCAAAACACATAAAGCAGCTTTCACAACACCTTGAACCAAGAGCAGCCAGCACCAGGATCTTTCCTTCGGCTGCCAGGGCCGAGCAGGAAAACCCAGATGTTCCACTGGAGGGGGCTCGTGTCTCGCTCGCACCGTGCCCGCACCGCCGGGTTATTCTTCAAAGGGGAAGGGAAAGAGCACAGTCAGAAAACATCTGGAACTGCACAGCTGCCACATCCCTGCTCAGTGCCACCTCGTTAGGCCATCCATTAGAACAGAACCAAAAACCCAGACACCAGATGTTAAACATCAAACAATGAAGAAAGTTTTAATCAACAGGATTATTGGTCCATGTAATTTCACGTTACACAATCTAATCCTTAAAAAAATGTTTCCTTTTCTTAATTGTATCTCAGACATCTGAGTCCATCTGAGAAAAGCATGGGTATGTGTTTCTTGAGCAGACCTGAGTAAGCACAGAAGAGCTTTCTAGTCTGCATCTGAATGGTGGCTGTCAAAAAACCCAATTAGTTCCTCTAATTCTTTAGCTTGAAATTGTTTTGAGCATCTAATGACATCTTCAGAAGAAATCTGTTCTTAAAAAAAGGTTTAGTCTTCAGAGGCTCACTGTAATATCTGCTTGCCTCCATAGAGGCACGTAACATAGAAAGCAGCACCTGGTACAAATCTTTAATAACTCAAGAAGAACTTTATTCACTGGGGACACCAGAGACAGACATTCACAGGATAGCTACTGTTAGTTAAGGATGTGATTATCCTGCCCCATTTTTACTTGCATTCCAAAAAGCAGTCCATTATTGCTCATGAACTTTTAAATTCTCAGGGAAAAAAAACCAAACCAAATCCACTCTCTGATAATTGCTGGAAAAATGGTAGAAATACGATTTTTCTGTCTAGCATCTTCTCCCTTGATACATCTCAGAGAAGCACCTCATCCAGTAGCAGCAGACACAGAATTCATTCCCTTTCTAGTTGCAGCAGATGGTGAGAGACCTGAATCTGTACAATGTAAACAGATCTTGAGGGAGAGCTCTGTGAATTCCTGCAACAGCCAAAACTGCAATAACATACATGAGATCAGCTATGTGGCCTCCATGGGGAATAAGCTCTGGACACTGTTTCTATTTATGGAAATTGACAGCATCTGTCCGAAGGACCATGAAAATGACAACATTTGAGATTTCCACATCTTCACCACATCCTACCTTATCAACCAGAAGACAGAAAACAAGCACCCTGAAAAGGCCAGAGATTTACATAAATCTGAAGCAGAGGCAGCAAAATAGGAGTAGTGTCAAAGACGTGAAAAAATACCAAAGCCAGGTCACTTTTTGGGTACCAACTTGTGTCCCTGTGTCCCAGGGCATAATTAGTGATAGGATGGTACAGAAGCTGGGATGGCAAAAGGTTCTGGTACACAAGCAAAGGAACAGCTGATCAGAGCTCTGCCTGCTACCGACACACCAGGCACAGCTCTGGGTTTGTAACACCCTGCTCACTGAACAATCACACAAAACCTGGGCAGTGCACAGATGAACACAAACAAGGAACAGTACATGACACAGTACCACTGTGGTACTACTGAAACACCAGTGAGAGTTTTGATGGTATCTACGCCCAGAGTGACAAAACTGATCATATCAGTAGGAATACTGATTCCTGGAAGACACTTCTCTACAAAATTGAAAGAAAACCTTCCCATTTACCTGTACAAGAGTTTTGTCACTCATGCAGTATGACCTGGAGGACAGCAATGTCTCTCCTCTCCACAAAGCTGTTTGCAGAGATGTCAGAAAGGATAAGTTTCTGTGCAGTAAACCCAACAACAACTGGGAATAAGACAAATCCTGTGCTTGTAAATACCCTCTGGGGTGAATCCCTTCAGAAGTGTATAGAAGAAAGGGAAGTGACAGATCAAACTTCTATCTTCTTCATGTCTCTTAGCAAACAAGATAAGACCATGCTCATCAACAATTCATATTTACAGGTATGCAGGTGAAAAAAATTAGCTATAGGTATTTACTTGAAAACACCTTGAGTCATCCCAAGATTACAAGCAAAAATTCAATTAAAAATATAAGTTATACAACTATGTATAAGTTTCAGCATGAATTGGACAAAAGTGACCTCTTACCAGGCTTTCCCTGCTGCTCTCAGAGTTGTAAGGAAAAGGGTGAACAAGGATTCCTTTCCCTCAGATATTTACTCCAGACCCCCCTGCATTTGAAGGACTGGAGCTGCCAGTCCCAGAGCTTCCCCTGGAAGCCCCAGCAGACTTCCCTGCCTGCCCAGGATAGCATGTCCTGCATTGTGTTCAGAAAGTTCTGTGAGAAGATCTGCTAGCAGCCTGCATGAAGCCACTGAGTTTTGAAATCACTTGCAGATGAGATGTAATACAAATATAAAGTCTTCCCTGCCCCCTTCTAATGAGTTACACATTTTCATTTAAACTGCACTGGCACTTCACAGGAAGGATCTGCTCAGGGTATTCCAAGTTGATTCCACATGGCTGCATAGTTCCTAATACTTATATTAGTTCCTAATACCTATTCCTAATAATAACCTACAAATAGGTTACTAATTTGGGTTGCATCCAATGAACTACAGAAGTCACTCTCAACCACTTTTTGAAAAATCTAAAAATCTTCCTTCCACTCACTATTTTTCGAAATTAATTTTTCTAACAAGTGAGTTCAGAGATAAAATTCCCCATCATCTTTGTTAACAGGAATGCAAAGGTCACAGAGTTGTATGTATTGGAGATGAATACCAAAGACATTGAATTTCGTAATTTCAACAACACAGAGATCATATCTTAATAGAATTATGAATAATTCTGACTTGCAAAAGAACAAATTAGTGTGTTTCATTATTAAACATCTCATACCAAGAAGACAAGTGGTGAAATAAAAATGTCTTTCTATACTGAGACATCTAATAATGAACCTGTTGCAAGCCTGAAGAAATCTCTAGAGAAAAAAACTCAAAACAAAAAAGCCTTAGGGTACCACTCTTTTTGGCTGAACTAATCATCACTGCTGTAGAAAACTAAAGCTGCAGGGATGTGATGATTTCAGATATTAAAGAAAAACATTGATATCTAGAACTCAAACTCCCCTCTTTACCCAAGAGCTTTTACTCCAGCTCTCTGTAGGCATTTTAACATTATACTGCATTTTGACTTTAACCCCCCAACACATATATTAGAGACACATGAAATATGTATAGATAAACAGGTGCACTGGAAAAGTCAGGATGGAATACTCAGTAATACTCAGGTCTGCTATTTTAATCATTCACCGGAAAATAACTGAAAGTCAATCACAATGGATACAGCATTTCAATAGCTCCATTGTCTGCAGGAGCAGCACTATTAATTTAATATGCTGTGTTGCAATGTTGTCAGAAAGATGGCTTTGATTGTACAAGTACCTCAGTGAAGTACCTTTGTTGAAGCTGAGCACTTTTTGATATTATTCCCTTCCCAAAAACAAGGTTAAATCTAACACCTATTAGATATCATTAGATGTCAGAGTTCCATTAAAGCTTATTTATGCCCGTGTAAACCACAAACTTGCATTTTCTAGTTAGTGTTCACACTACCTTAGTGGTTTGTCATAATTCAAGTCAATTTAAAAGCCCTCAGGTGCTTTTGAGTTTTTTCATGCTGTCATCCCCAGCATTAAGGCACCATTTCTCAGTTGGGCTAAGCCTGCAACACACACCAAGAAAAGGAAGTTTGAAAGTTATTCCCCTTGCTCATTATAACTGGCTTCTTTGCACTGAAGTAGTCATAGGATATGTTACCCTGTGTGCAAACACAGGGCTGCTGGAGCAGGCTCAGCTGTGAGGAGTTACACAGGTGCTCATGCAGAGCACAATGAAGGCAGGCAGAAAAGCACTGGTACTGCTTCCTCTGGCTAAAGCACGGCTGCAGGTCACTTGTGGAAGCAGAAGTCTTGGTGCTGTGAAGCACAGCAGATGCTCTGCAGTGGGCAATCCTCCTGCATAGCCAATTAGGATGCAGACATTCTGAATAAAGCAGCTGCTGTGAGCATGAAGCGGAACTGAACCAGCCTCAACCCAGAACGAGGTATTCATGAGACACCTGAGTAAGGACAGGTTACCCCAGATGTACCAGCTGCCTCCTCTGCCTCAGAGAGGGAATTTTCAGTAATTGCAAGCTGCTAGGATTAAGTCCTGGGTATATGGGAGTGGGGAAGTATGAAATACTACAACCACTCAAGTCAGAAATGACCTCTTCGATCCCCGCTCATTTTCTTAGGTCAATTAATGGTACTGCCATTACCAAGGAAGGTAAAGGGGTCAGGTGTCCCTTTCTTTCACACCATTATTCCCTCTCAATTACAGTCACTTAAGACACCAACCCCTTTATTTCTGAAGACTTATTTTTCCCTCAGATGGGGTATTCAAAGAGAAGGAGTGTTTTGCATAGCAGGAGCCCTAAGCAGTTGCTCCTTTCCAACACTGTGGTGTTATTTCAGACTCCACCAGTTTATCCTGCATACAGGTCAACTGTGCAGTTGAGGTCACTTACTTCCAGTGAAAGCTATCCAGCGGGCATATTTAGTAGCTTCTCTTCGCCAGTGGGAAGCCACCAGCAAGCCACATGTGACAGTTAGTGAAATGATTCCCATTATGATGAAAAATAACGTAGTGACCCACTCGGGAGGCAGCCGTGGAGGAATACAGGTCCTGTCACGTCCATGGATGGTTTGACACTGTCGCACAAGGCCAACTGTGAGAGCACCTGAAAACACATAGCAGAGAGGCAAGTAAACTTTCAAAATCCTCTCTGAGGGGCGCTCCATTGCAAACCACAGCTCAGAATTGCCCCAAAGTAAGGGATTCTTTCTTTGATGAACCTTAGTAAGCCTTTCAAACACGGAGGATGGAGGGCATGCTATAAACATCTGTCTTCGTGTTCCTTCATCACATGCTTGCACAAGCTGAAGTGAGATGGCTGCAAGCTGTATCTGGTTCCTGAGTGGCAATCAAGGTCTAATCAAAGGGATAAAGCACTCGTAATAGAGCCTGCCAATATCTGCTAACGTGGTAGCTGACTTGCATAGAGGATCACTCACTCATCTGTGCAGGATGAAGTACTTTTATAGTCTAACAAAATGAGTTGCAGCCCCCCTAAAATGCATTTAATTGCCTAATATCTTTTCCCCTCATTTGTAAATACAGCTTTAAGCCTCTGACTCTTGCAGCAGAAACTGCATTTTCATTCATGTATGATTCATGTATGATTTTAAAAACATTAAAAAAACCCCACTTCTTGACAGTAACTCATTAAAAAGAGTCCCTCCATGCAAGACTGATCAATCCTTTTGATTGCTAACAAGAGTTACTACACAAAGAAACTAGGAAATCTACAGAAAAGATCTACCAAAAAGATCCTAGAAAAAGGATAAGATTGATACAGGAACCATAAAGATTTAACCAAAATGATGTATTTTCTGTTAAATAATAATTTTTTAAAAAATCATCTTTTAAATCCAAGTCAGTGTTTTGAGGCTCAAAAAGAAGCTTTTAGTGAACTTTAATAATGAAGTTTTCTTTCTAACCCCAATTTAACATGCAATATTAAGATTAATTTCTTCCAGTGTCTCTTAAACATTAAGTTCTAGATTTCTCAATTTTGCCTTTTCTTCTGAACTGTTGCCTAAATAATCACAATTATCCTTTATCTACATCAGGAGCAAAACCTAACAGTGGACAGCATTAGAGTCAACATCTTTCTCCACAAATTACTTCAAGTAAATACTGTTTCAGTTGACCTGTTTCACATAAAAAGAGGACAACTTAGACATAATTACAGTTAGACTAGGAAGCTTAGGCTTAGCATGTCTTTTGGAAGGAGAAACATCTGTCATACTTTCTAGCCTCTTTTTGGGGGAAAGAAAAAGTGTGAAAAAAAGGAGAAAGCCAATAGTCAAAAGATTTACCAGTCCTAGCATGCACCTCCTGGCACTCTGGAGCCAATTTCTAGAGATCCTCTCTGCTCACACCTGAGCAATGAGTACCAGCAGAATCAGCCTCTGAGCTTAGAATTGTTGGGTTAGGAAGCAGCATATTATGTTTTATTAGATGTTTAGAATCCCAGCACAATCAGCCTCTGAGCTTAGAATTGTTGGGTTAGGAAGCAGCATGTTTTATTAGATGTTTAGAATCTTATTAAATGTACTGCCTCATATCCCAGGGTATCAGAAGAACCAAAAGCAAAACCATTACTGAACCTGTTCTGTTGAAGTATTCTTGCAACATTTGTTTAGACTACAAAATTTCAGTCTTATTCAAATATATCTTTTTAATTACACATCAACCGACTGAAAGATTCAGGGATGAATTTTCAGCCAAAAACGGAACAATTACAAAACCAATGAAGTTGGCATTTTCTACTCCAGGCACCAGCAATCACACCACTGCTGTGCACCAGGATCACACAAACCTGAGCCAGGGTTACACAAGCAATCCTGCCCAGCTCCATGCCTGCACAGTGCAGTTTTACATGAACTGCTTCTCTTCCAAAGCTTGCAATGTTTTCATTGTACATCAGCTGCTGGGGCAGAGGGGAGATGTGTCCTTAAATGTCAAGCTCCCTGGAACACACACACTTGCAGAACCTCATACAAAACACTGAGCAGTTTCCTGTAGTTTGGGGATAAAGAGGCTATTCACTGCAGCATCATAGAACAGGAAATTAATCCCAATCACTGTGCAAGACCAGGATTTAACAATTTTGCTATCTTTACAGCACAAGTCAGTTTTTTCTAAACTGCAATTCTAATAAAAGAATGACTTCATAAAAATGACGTCATACACTCAATAGATGCTTTCTGAATTCAAAGACCTCTCCTGACTTCAGTGGCAATAATTTAGTGCATTTTTAACTTTGGAAAAAGCAGCAATGATAAGAGTCACTCTGCTGAACATGGTACCATTTTGTGTCTTAATTGAAACTGAAAAACAGCTGCTGTAGATGAGCATGTATAAGAGACAACTATTTCATTTTGTACATGCAATTTGCAGTTTATATTGAAGCTATTTTTCAACTAACAAAAGCACACTTAACATGTCAGATTCAGAGAGAACCAAAGCTAAGCCCAGAAGTGCCATACCTAGAGGAAACAGAGAACTCCATTTTGAACTATTATTTTTAATGCAATTTCTCTTACTATCAACATCTACTCCTCCAAAAGGTGATTAAAAAAAACCCAAACAATCACCCAAACCAAAAAACCCAGGAATGAAAATGAAGAAAATGAGAAAAAAAAAAAATCTCTGAACTGTGAGTACCACAGAGGCATTCCTTCTTAATACACAAGGATAGCTGCAGAAACTATACAGGGAATGGCTTCCTAAACATCAGTTCTGGTGCCAAAATGTATTATTTTACTCTGGTGAGGTTTTTTTTTTTTTGGCATTGTTTGCTGTTTGGTTGTGGGGGTTTTGTTTTGTTTTTTTTTTTTAATCAGAGTTTTAAAATGTCAGCAACTAAATTTCAGTATCTGACATTTTGGAGGAAATATACTGAGCTTTATGGTTAAGCTCTTTCTAACACATACACAGTATTTTGTCTTAACTCTGCTTTATGAATTACAAATCTGAAGCCAATATACTTCATATTTAAGGTTTTGAACCTTGAGTTTGCAGCCTCTAGGGAGTCAAATGGAGGGCAAGAGGTCTGTGAACCATTTCTGAAGGTTTCACCAAGATAACTGGAGAATCAACCTCATTATGTGCTCATAAATTCGGTTAAAGTTCAAGTTGACTACATAGGAATACCTCACTTGTGTGCATAAACTGGGCACAGGAAATGAAACCTCAGGGCTCATCCCATAGTGACAAATCTGTTGAGTTCAGACTTCAAAAGAAGTCTCTGGTGTGGAAAAACAGTATTCATTTGCCATGAAATTCAAAAGAGGAGCGTGTTTATATGGTATTTTATTCTGCTGGTTCCATTCTGAAGCAATCAAGCAGTTACCAGGGAGCTGCAAACAAACTTGTTACAGAAAATCTTGTTTCCCCTTATCTAGTCTATCATTGAAAAGAGGGATATAAAATTGCACAGAGTCCTTCTGCCTGTAGTTAGAGAAGAGCTCAACAGCCCATCTCAAATCAATCACCAAGTTCCACCGAGATCCATAAGGAAAAGGTTTTTAAGTCATCCTCTCAGAACTACTTCAGCATAATTGCTGAAAATCTAAGCACCTGACACAGGTATGGAACAAACAGCACAGCTAATGCCAGTAGATTAGGCAGCTGAAAGATGGATCCAGCCCTAAACATTTGCAGTGCAGTAAGCACAGCTGCCCACCCAGCTCCCCCTGCCTGCACGGATCAGCCCCGGGAGCCACAGTGAGAACCCCGAGGGGCAGGGGCTGCTCCCTGCTCTCACCTGCCTCTCCCCAGAGCTTCTGAGACTGGCATTATTCAGGTCACTACAGCTAGAGCACGAGGTGATTAGGACACACATGCTAATTATTAAAAATGAAATCTGACCTTTATCAAATCAGAGAATGCTGCACTGAGTAAATGTTACTGAAGTGGTCCTTATTCTTTTCCAGTATATCTATTCCCTGAAGTGCCAAAGCATTTCTAACATATTAAAAAGACTCTCAGTAGTGACAGTCTGTGTATAAACAGGCTCCAGTTAATTTCACAGAAAGATTTTGTGATCATCCAACTCCTCAAAACCACCAGTAATGCTCATTTTTCAACACTGCATATTTTTACTAGAATCAGTGATAAAAAGGGTCTTGAACAAATACACCAACGCTGGGGAGCACCACCTATTTAACAATTAAATTTCACAAAACCATTGAGGAAAAGAGGTGGAGGGCAACAAACCAAGCAAAGGCAAGGCCCCTCATTTTCCCTCCTGGTGCAGAGGTGCAGCTGCCAGGGAGCTGACCCCCAAGTCCCACTCCAGCCCCGCGGTGCTCTGCCATCCCTCTCTTGTTTCCCTGGTAACTACAGAGCCACCAAGGAGGAATCACACTCTACAGAGAGAAACAAAGATTGCTGCAGCCCTTTAACTCCCCCTCCTCTACATCACTTCTGAATTATTAAAAGTGGCACAGCGATAGCACGGCTGGAAAGCAGCAGCATAATAATGGCCACTCAGATGTTCAGCGTTCATCTGTTATCTGAGTGCCAGGACACGCGGGATCAAGTGTGCCAGATGGACACAGATGAGGTGCCACTGCCATGAGGAGCTCTCCACAGCACCAGAAACAACTAATATGGTAAAAGCAAGTTGCAGAGAATGAGGTGGGGCTCCAATGTTAGGAGGTCCCAGAGCTCTGCAGCTATGCTGACCCATGAACCTCCAAGGCACAAACCCTCAGAAGTGCTCTTGCTCAGCCTGGGGTACCTGCTTCTCCTCTGCACTCCCCTACTGTCCCAACTTGAAAATTAGTTTAAATTTTACCATCATTTTAGACAAAAATGATATTTCTTGGGTTTAAATGGATCTGCAGCCCCTTATATTCCTTGACAACAGCTTCCTTAGTTCTACCTCCCATTAACCACATCCTTAGCAAAATGGTCTATGCCAACATTTAATAAGTATTATGGCCAATATGCCTTGTGAGGGGGTTAAAACTGGATCTGCCCCCAGAAAACCCCCTGCTCTCCCTCCCTCATTGTCCTGATGAGATGGGGTGGTGCTGCTGGAAATGCCAGTTGTGACTGGCAGACAGTTCCAACCCAAAGGAGAGACTTCTCTTCAGTGTACTGTGG